TGACAATGGCCAGGTAGACAGACCAGTGATAGAATCTATGTATATATAGGTGTCTACTAAGAATACGCATTTCATTTGTTGAAGTGATACCTGTCTCTTCACCTCCCACTCTTTGCAACTGTTGGGAAGATGGATCGCAGGTGCGTGAGAGCTCTCGACAACTGGCCCAGATCCGCTTCGAGCTCTTAGGCGGAGCTCCGCCGCGCCCAACGTGCGGCACGAGTCATGACCACACAGGGTCTCTATCAGTGGAGCGTCTAGTCTAGCTGAACGGAACCCAGGTAGGCCCCGGATTTGCGCGGCCTTTGCACCTCCAAAACAGCCACAATTGATCTCAGAGTTGGGGTTAAAGAGGGAATACGGTGTGATTTACTGTAACAGGTCGGTATAGTACATTGTGATGGGTGGGTCTGAATGGGTTGAATCACATGCAAAAGTAGGCAAGGACTGTTCCACACCCATCTTCACCGCAGGATTGAGGTGGATCTCCTGGATGTGATCGTTTTCTAGAACCTGAAAACCTGGAAACTGAACCATTCCTTAGACCAATTTCTACCAGGACTCACGGTCTAAAGGTCTTTGGACGTCTAAAGGGGTCAGAACATTGACACGCCAATACGGGCGACACCCCGACTCGCCAGGTGAGAACGCCTCACCCTTGGATCTCCATCGGCCCGAGACCAAGCGAAGCGGAGCGAAGCGGAAGAGACCGGGTCCCAAGCAGCATTCGTTCAGAGAAGTCGTCCGTTTCGGACTCACGTCGTCCGTTTACACCAGATGTATCCAGATGGTACATGTTACCAGGGGTGATTCACTTTTTGAGATGGTATGTTCAATGATGTTCAATCATGTTCATGTATTTCTTCAAGGGCTTTCACAGCTTTTTCGCCCCACCGAAGCTCGGGCGGAGTTGCTTCAGACAACTCCTTTGGTCCCAGTGATCGCAAACACTCGTTCTGCCCAGTGGGGGGAAGGACGACGTGTTCCTTTTTTGGGGGTGGAGCAGAATCACAGGATTCGGTGTGGTGCGGGTTGGCTGCAAAGACTCTATATATCGATATATACAGTAGTATTGCAAAAAAGCCACCCCATTTCGGGTGGTTTATATAGGCGCTACAAGAATACCCTTTAATACGAATCCGATCATCTGACCATCCAACCATCCTTGCACTGGATTAATTGTGCCAGGGTCAATTCTTTGGTTGATTTATGACATTTTTGGACTCATGGCAGAGAGTCGAATTGAATTCTCCCACAGGCTGAAGTCATTGGCGGGAGATGACCGTGCACGAGCTTTAGCCCAGGATGGGGGTGGAGCATTCCAGGGTTTTTTTTCGGGCTGAGTGAAGACAGCAACCAGGACACTTGGATGCCTAAAAGCTCGGGAGCTGTATGAGCCAATCATGGGGCGCCCCTCACTGTTTCAACGAGGAGGTCCACACGTGTCGCGGAGTAGAGAAGTGAACTCGCTCGGCAGAAAAGGAATACCATGCAGAAAAGGAATTTAAATGATTGCTAGACGTCCAAGACAATTAAAACAATGGTTGACCTGGTTTTTGTGGTCTAAAATCCTTAGTTGATTCAGTAAAGCTATTAAATTAATGGTGGTTGGAAGCCTAGGGTTTACAGTACAGTATATTGCATTTGGATGCACTTGGGGTTGTCCTATTACCGGTAACAGTCAGCAAACATATGCAAACATCACTATTTTTCGAACAAGGTTTTTACTAGCGATTGTCATCCACTGTTGCAGGATAGATCCGATGGACCCAGTTGCAGTGTATGTTCAATTAAAGATGGCTTCCTTGCATAGGAAATTGTGTTGTTTATTCACCTTTCAGAATCGATCGACTGCTTTTGAAACATGTGTCATGTATAGGACTCCACATTGTCCCAGTCCTTTCACACACACACAATCCGACAGGTAGGCATCCATGCCGTCGGACACAAAACGTAGGTGACCCGAATGGACGACATCCATCTGAGCGGTTTCATTCGCACGCGGTGGGTTCACCCAAAAAAAGTCGACCAACACGTAGTTGGGCAGATTCAGCACATCTCAGCGGCGATGGACGTTGTGGGCAAAACGCGGTGGTGAGGTTCTCAAAACCCATGGGGCATCTTCAATCAAGGGCTGAACTCATAGCTGACTAGCCACCTGAGGCAAAAGATTGCAAAAGTTGTTCGGCTCTTCGGTGAATCTGGTTGTTGGTCATCCACTTGCCGATACGCGCGCCAAACAGCAGGAGTCGGTGGCAGAGCTACGACAGAAATGGCACGAGATCCTTCAGAGGCTGGTCTTTTGGAGGCAAAGTGACCGAAATGGCATGAGATTGGCGATCTAGGATCGGCAGGTCACATAAAACAAGGTCCTCGAGCAAACCCTTCACATGTCAATGATCAAAAGCCACCCGATCTCAGGACCCCCGACCTGCCAGGCAGCCCGAGGAGAGTCCGGATGCCGGTCCTCCAGAGTTGCCCGGCTCAACCACGACGTTGGCCCGCGAGCTGCATCGCCGGAGTGAGACGAGACGGTGCATCGCCGGAATGTGATTCAGGTCCCAGGAGGGCTCCTTTCGAAGGTATTTAGATCCAGCACGCCAAAGAGCTGAGGAGGTACAGCCCGAGGGCGGCAGATGCTGAGGAAATGACACATGCACAAGGGGTGCACCAAACTCCTCTATAGGAATGGTCAGATGCCGCCCCTTCAACCAACACAGACACTGAACCAGTGGGGAAGAGTCTTCGCACCCCCAAAACGGGTGTGTACAAACATGTACAAACTGAGATACAGGTTAATATATATGCTTTATACATATGTTTTACATACATAATCATAATCCAGTTAATATTGAATGGAAACTAACAGGACAACTCGAATCGTTTTGCTTCCCAAATCCCCTGGGACCACGACGAGCTGAACATCACCTTTTGCCTCCGCCCACTGAGGCAGAACCAGACCCATCCGGGCGAAACCAGGCAAGAGTGCGTGTGGTCAGGGGCATGGAGGGCTGGTAGAGGACAAACACTTTGGTGATGAATCCATTGAAACAATGAAGAGCCGGGTGGGTCATTTGTTAACGGTCGAACAGGAAAGTTCACTGACAAGGTCCTAGGTCCTAGGAGAATCAGAGGATAGGTGAATCCAAGTCATACCAGGGTCGCTCTCAACAGTTTCAATTTTTCACAAACGCTCCATACATGGCAACCATGACCTACAACCATTGAAGGTAGCCAAATGTAGTACTTGCCGACCCTTCAGTGTTTGGGAGCTGCAAAGCTTGCAGTTTGTCCTGTTGTTTTCGTTCACTTCAGGTGGCAGACTGAAGAGGACGCCTTCCAGGAGCGCGGTTCACGCTTGGTCGGAAAACGAGTATGACCGTGTCGTGTTGCGACGGTGAAGAGACGTGTCAGATGTGTCAGGAGACCTATGCCAAACTGATGGCTGACATTGAATCTGTGGCACTGGATGATGAGATTGCCCTTCCATGATCCGAGATGCCCAGGCGACATCTCGAACATCAGAAGAATTAATATATACAATTATATATATATATATATTGTTTATGTGTTTTGATGGTTTGGATGACTCAGACGCACTCACCTGTACTTTGTGAATACCAGACCATATTCATAGTGACTAAGCTAACCCTTGGAGTGCTATTCATGGAAAAAAAAGACCTCTACTAGCACCCTCAACCAGTCACGAGTGGACCCACTGCAGCTAGGATGGAAGATCCGTTGGAGAACATGTAAACATGGTTGTTGCTCATGTTGCGGGATTTGGTGATACAAACACGGGAGCATTTGAGGCACTAGGTATATGTTTTATAATATATATAGAATATATGCTGTACGGAGCAAGGGTTCAATCAAGTGCATATATATATATACATACACTGTATATATACACGCAGGCACAAACTGAACATGTTCACTAATTCTAGAGAGAAAACCTCGCAAAAAGCACTGGTGAACGTGCTGAGATTCACTGAGCCCCAAAGAGAAAGTACAGCGGTCTGAGCACATATGATATACAGTGTGTATATATATATACATACATACATGCATACTGTTACGCCTGAAACCCCGGTGGGGGAGTTTGCATGTTGTTTTGGAGAGGGAATCAGTGAACACGCTTGAGAAACTATGGAGAGACATACACTCCATGCATATGCTAACATCACTTGCGGATCCCAAAATCACTACTGTATGTATGACTGTATCATGCATCGTTATGGGGCAACCTTTTGTCCTAGACGTTGGCAGACCTTGGCACCAGGTGGCTCCTGGATCCGCTCGGGCCAAGACGTCATGGGACGGTCTCCCTCCTCGAATGCGGATGCGATCGTCGCATCTACTGTGGAGAGGAATACTGTCAGTACTTAAACCAAAACACTGTCAGAAGATTTGATCAAGGCATCAAACCAGAAACCTGGCCGGAGTCGACCGGCACATGTTGGCTTGAAAGCGGCGCATTTAGCCTGCCGTCGTGCCCAAAAACATTGGGGTGCTCCTGTGCCACATGCGCGAGCAAAAAGTGGAGTTGCAGCACGACATAGCATGATACTTGTCAAGGCTTTTACAAAGAACATATAAACATACCCCAGACATGCGCGTGGCTGAGGTGGAGCAAAGTCTCTTCGTGGCTCCTCATGCCGGCCTCGAGGTCGTGTGTTTGCGCTGGGGTCGACCCTGCAATATCCGATGGCCGTTGGATGGGTGATTGGATGGGTGTCCAAGCCTAGCAGTCCGTATTCAATTGGTTGTGGTCGCCGACTAAGTCGATGCTCAACTATACTATACCTAAGAACTGATACCACTTACTAACCTTTTCCCATTCCCGGTAACTAATGCATGATGAGTTGCTTGTTTGTAAAATCACTCACTGCAGAGTAGAATCATTATCCACTGTCGCTCAACCCTGGTGTGTTTCTAGTCTTGGGGATCCCTGCGAGCTAAAACATGAAGAAGTGGGAAAAATTGACTTGAAGGACACAATGCAGTTCTACGCTTTCCGTGCCGGCCGTCATCCGACAGCTGCACCTGGCGAGGCTCAATTTCAGTGTATCGTCAAGTTGCCGAAAAAGAACAGGCCTGAGCTGCTCCAAGGAAGTGGGTCCTCCCAGCTGCTCATTCGAGATTTTGTCGAGAACGGGCAGCAAAGCACGGACCTCACTGTCATCCCCCGTTTTTGGGATGTATCGCCACAGAACCTGCACGAGGCCCTCATCGTCACTCAGAAGGTGGCTGGGTTTGCTGGTGTGATCATCACAAGGCGAGGACTCGCCGTCAGATCGTGGACAAACAATGTGGCCTATATGCGAAAGGCAGTCATCCCATCCGACAGCAGAATCACAACTGAAAACATCTCCGTTGTGCCTCGCTTTTCCTACAAGTCTACGGGATGGCCGCCCGCTGTTGACCCGCCGAACATTGTGCAAGCAGTCACGAAAGCCGTCGGACAACCACCTATTCCGACAAAAGCGTTCAGGTCAAGTGGAGTGCACGGTTGGCTCATCGCATTCGAGCATCGCCCCACCGTGCTTAAGTTCGCTCTGGAGATCAACGGGATCACCCATGAAATCCTGCTCGTCGAAGAGCCTGCTGGCCCGATTCCAAAGCCCTTAGGGAGGAGCAGTCAATCCGCTACCAAAGCCAAGAAGACAGAGGTCTCTGCCCCCAAAGCTGCTGTGAAGCCGGCGGAGGTGCGCATCATGCCAGGGCCACCAGGGCCTGACAATGCTCGGCTGGAGAAGTTGGAGCAAAGATTTGATGCCATGGAGTGTCGCCAGACACGCATTGAAGACAAGTTCGATGCCAAATTCGACGACATTTCAAACTCCCTCCGACAGCTTTTGCAAGCTGCACAAGCCACGCGCACCCGTGAACCCACGGGTGAAACGCCGGCTGCAAAGGTCCAGAAACACGAGGCCTGACAGATCGCGGGCGGGATGCGCAGCCCATGCGGTGTTGCAGCCAACTGTTGCTTTCTGTTTTACTTTGTCATTTTGTTTTGGTTCCAACTTTGTCTTTATGTGATTGCCATTTGGGTTGCCGCCCTGACCCGGTTTTCTTTCGTATTTGCATCACTTAGTTGCACAGAGCGTGGGCTCTTCCCATGCTGTCCTTTATCGTGCCGGTCCGACGATGGCCAAATCTCTGTTTTCGATTCCACGTATTTACTAGATTTGGATCTCTGGTCTCATTTTACATGTTGGTCTCAGCCATTGAGGATCGATTGTCGCGATAGTGCAAGGAGCCTTTACTCATCAATGCACTTTAAAGTGTGTTCCGAGTGCCTTTTGCATGCCATGCCACACATGGCTAGAAACCCAACTACCTTTCCGATGTGTGAGGGAAAAGATTGTTGCTGGCCGCGCTGCAGTTCGATCGTCGCCATCCCGCCCAGTCTTTGTTTTATGAGCATGACATTTGTGTTTATGTTGGGTTCTCTTGCCTTGCTTCATCTTTTACAATTCATTGTTGCTTTTCCCAAAGAGACTTTCCGACTTTGTGCCTCCGGTTCTTCCGGATCGGTCAATGGGATTCTGTTGAGTTCGATGCCACCTTAGGATACCCGGGGGAAGGACCCAGGCCACCTTTTCCTCTTCGTTGGTCCATGTCGTCAATGAATGTTGGCAGCATCAAGACCTCTCAACTGTGGCGAAACACTGACAACACAATCATTGCCTTCAAGAAACTAGGGTCGGCCGTAATAATCAACGCACATGTGCACAAGAGGTTGCTGCCACAGGTAAGCACATGTTTCATGGAGCTCTTTTGCCTGGGATCCTGCGGACCGACGGCCACCTCACAACCACTCATGGTGGCACCGCCATTTTGGCACCTGAAACCACCACCAGACCTTTCACTCAGGCCGATGACATATCCAACAAATATGATTCCCTTGTTAAGACCACCAGGGTGTGCGCTTGCTGGTCGCAAGTCTCACCCTCCGTGCGAGTTTTGGTTTTCTCCATTTATGCTCGTTCTGGTGCTTCCGCCAACCAGGAATTGTTTGACCAAAATGAAGCCCTCTTGAAGGATGTGTTTGAAATCTGTGCTCAGTTCGGAGACATTCCTATCTTGATTGCCGGAGATTTTTCAAACTTGCCCTTCAAATTACCCGTCGGTCGCTTCTGCTCTGCACTATCATCGCTGGTTCGACCCCTTGCAGACTGTTGATTCCGAGGGCACCATTTTTCGGCCTTTGACCTTTTCGTCCGACGGAACCTTCGCCGGGGCCGGTGATGGGTGTTCTTCAATCGATGGCATTCTGATGAATCATGTTGCTTTTTCGGCTCTTCAATCGTGTGATGTTGTGGAAACAGGGGGTTCCCAACACCGACCGATCCATGCATCCTTTTTGTGGGACCGAGTCCATGTCCGGGGCGACATTCACATCAAAACTGCTTCTTTGGGTACTTCCTTTCTACCTAAGGGCCATTCCAAAGAGGCGACCTTCGTCAACGAAATCGCTCAAAAAATTTGCCCTTCGCCTCAAACACATTTGCAGGATTTTCCAGATGTCGAGTCCAAGTGGGCTGAGGTCAACCGTGTTTGCACCGATACCCTTGTTCTCGCTGGTGCCAAATGGGGTTTTGGTCAACAGTCTCGGGGTACACTCCCCAAGTTTAGCACCAAAGCTTTTTGCCCCGGTCAGACACCCAAAGGGTCTGCCGTTGCTTCCAAAGGCTCCCAATTATATAACTGCCTTCGACGTCTTGGTGAACTTGCTATCCGTTTGAACCGTGCGCAGGGTTCAAGAGCTGATTCGAGAATTACCCACCAGACTGCCTGTAAATGTTCTAGAGCTTTGCACATACTTCATGCACCTGTGAAGTGGGATTCGAAACAACTCCCTTCACTACTGGAAGTCTCCGCTTCCATCCAATGGGTTAAAGAGCAAGCTGCTCTGTGGGAGCACCATAAAAAGGCCAGCCGTATCCAAGCTTGGAAAGAGAAGATCAAGTCTTCTGAACAAGGATCCATGAAGCACATTTACCATCATCTCAAAAATAAATCCCTGGATGAACCCGTTAATCTTGTATTGGACCCTCAGGGCCAGATCTTGTTTAACCCGCGTTCTGCCATGGAATCCATTAATGATACTTGGGATGAGGTTTTTGGGGCCAACGTCCTTCATGAGGAACCCCTCAATGTCCTTGGTGTTATTTGGCCTTACATGGATCATAGCATTCCTGCTCTTGAGTTGCCACGACTTTCGGGCAGTGACATCCAACAGACAATTCAGCACCGAAACCCAATGGCCGCACCGGGTCTCGATGGCTGGCGCACAACCGACATGCACTGCCTTCCCATCGTGTGCTGCGACCTCATTGCCGACTTCTTCAAAACTTTGGAAGATAATTGTGACTCGTCCATACCTGAGGTGCTTCTTCGGGTTAAGCAGGTTATTCTTAATAAACCGGGTCCCTCCACGCCCCTCAACAAGAGGCTTATCACAATTCTCTCACCAATGATCCTTGCATATACTGGTACTAGATTCCGCCAACTTCAGCATTGGCAACAACATACCATGCCAAGACAGCTTTGTGGTGGCATCAAAGGTCGTGACATGTCGTCCATTAGTGTTGGTCTCCGGCTCGAACTCGATGCCGCCCAAGCCCAAGCCCATGATATTGTTGGTATCAAATTAGACCAGTCCAAATGTTTTGACCGTATCATCCCAAGTGTTGCCGGTGCTCTCTTCTTGGCGTTTGGGCTTCCCAAAGGAATTGTTAGTGTTTTCCTTCGCATGTATGCTGGATTCAAGAAACACATTTCGTATAGGGGCTGGGTTGCTAGACGGCATTCTACCGCCGCAAATGGGGTTGCCCAAGGTTGTAGCTTATCTTTGATTGCCATTAATGTATACATGGCTGTTTGGGCGCGCTTTATGTCGCTCATCCCACATGTGTCTTGTAGAGCTTTCATAGATGACGCTTATTTGTGGGCACACATTGACCACATTGCACAACTTCGTATTGCTCTTGACATGACCACACAATGGAACGTCCTTGTCGGTCAGAAGCTTAATCAGTCTAAGTGCAATCTATGGGCCACTTCCAAACAAGCTCGGAAAGATGCTAAGTCCTTGTTCCCCGAAATCCCCCTCGTTCTTGAATTTGACGCCCTTGGGGCAATCATTTATACTTCAGAGCGAAATGCCTATTGTTTCTCACATGCACGTGTGGAGAAAATCCGCACTGACATCCGGAACATTGGAGCTCTTCCTATCTCTCGCAAATCCAAAGCCAAGATAATTGCTGCTAAGATCATCCCACAATGCTCTTTTGCAGCTGAGATCTCAGATATCCCGAAGAAGGCCTTGAGCGACTTTCAAAGCGATATTGCCACTGTGCTGTGGGAGAATCGGCCTCATTGGAGATCCAAGATGCTGGTCTTTTGTTTTCTCTCCCAGCCTAGCTTCGTGCATCCGCAGCTTAGCCGGGCTTATACGATGCTCCGGAACTTTTGGCGCTTTGTCCACGGGAATCCTGAGGTTTGCCAAACTTTGGAGCGCCATTTTGCCGAGTTTTCCCAAGCTAAACACTCAATCATTCATCATGTTCGTAATGCATTGAAGCTTTCCCACATGGACATCCTTCCTACCTTGCACATCGGTATTGGTAATGTCCGTTTTCACCTGCTTGATTTTTCCTTCAAGGAATTGCGAGGTTTGTTCAAGCATTTAGGGCATCAATTCTGTTATGAGCAATCTGGGATTAAGCCTCGAAAGGACCTGGTTCGTCCGACCGGCATCATCGATATGCATTTGTCCTTACTTTTCAAAAGCAAATACAAGCCACCTGCAAACTCTAGGGAGAACCTTATCCCTCACTTCGAGTCTCAAATTGTTGGTTGCACCATTACGAACGACCGCAGAGCCGCTGCGGGCTTCATCGATGACCCACAGTGCCGTTTCTGCTGCCTAACCAAGGAGTCTTTGTTTCATTTGACGCAAGAGTGTGATGCTCTTCCTTCTCATCTGCAGATTCACCACCAGCACGAACTGGGACCGAACTTCACTAATTTTGGCATTGTGGAGCACCCGGTTGCCATCATTGATCACCGGCTCGATCTCTCTGGCTCAGACGTTGAATCTTCTGGATTTTTCGATCCTGCGTTACCTATTGCAAGACGATGGACAGATGGCTCTGTGATTTTTGCCAATAGTTTTTGGCTTGTCTCCGCAGCATTTGCAGTGGTTGATGAACAGGAGAATTGCATTTTTTCTGGCCCCGTCCACCATGTTTGCTTATCCTCATTTGCCGCCGAACTCCACGCTTTTATGGTAGCTGTGATGTTTTGCGAGCAACGAGTACATGTTTATACGGACTCACGTACCATCGTGGACATGTTTGAGGAGCTCATCAAGTGTGGTTTTGTCGCTTCACATTGGACCCACAAGAAATGGTGGCAACGTGTCTTGGACTTGTGGGTTTCTAGGAGCCGCCTTGTTCACGAACCCATTTGTATTTCTTGGATCCCAGCTCATACATGTGATTCTTTCCCACTCGACTCGGTGGACCAGACAGTCGCCGATGGTCTCGGTATTGAATTGTGCCACTTGCGCGGAAACCGCATTGCTGACCGTGCTGCCAAAGATTGTGCATCTCGCTCCGCTGCCATTTTTACTGACATGTCTGTTCAGTTGGAAAAAGCGATTTTTCAGAGCCAGGCCCAACTGGTGCAGCTCAATAAGGTGATTGGCAGTGAAGAGTATGTTCGAAATTGGTACAAGACTCGCACTGACGACATTGCGACACATGGTGACAGCGTGGAAAAGATTTTTCCCTCTTGGCCTTGGTCCTCCCCTCTCTCTTCTTACACCTGGACCCCACAACCGTTGGAGAGTGTTGCTGCTGCCCTTCGTGGCTTTTTCGGGGTGCATGATGGGAATGCTTTGCTCCATTTTTGGCTGAACTTGCGCTGGAAAACAGGCAAAGAAGAGTCTGTCAGCTACATTGAACTGGCGTTTCTTTTCTGCCACCGAAATGGCAAACTCGAGCGTGTCCAACTCCCTCGGGACAACTTTGTCCATGTTCAGAAAGCTGTTCGTAAATCGGCGGGCATCATTTTTCATGTTGCTAAGCAACTGATTTTGCCAGGGGAACACTGGGCTACCTGGGCACACAAGTGCGGCAGAGCCTTACCCAAAGGGTCCATTGGTTTTGCTCGCCCATGGTTTAGCCTCTCTGAGCTTACTTCTTTTGCAAACATTTTGCTGGATGGACGTAACCAAAAGTTGGAGTCCTGGGCTTTCTGCCCGTCTCTTTGTCTTAATTAGTTTCCTCTTTTTCGTGTGGCATTAATTCGTTCCTGCATCCCTGACCATTGAATCAGAGTGTTCAAGGTCTCCCACGTGATCGTGGATCGTGTGATAGAAGAAGTGGAAAAGTACATCATTTACCATACTGACATATACTGACTATATATATATATATATATAGTTAGTTCAGCCACTAAGTCACATACCCCATACAATCCATGTTACCTACCCTAAAGACCCCATCTCTGCGGATATGAAAAGGCCATAGATACCGTACCTTCAGACTCAAACACCTGGGCTGAACTGGTAGTTAGTATATGTTAGTATAACTCCTTTGCAACCACGTCATCAGCATCGGCCCCACGTGCCACATACCACGTATCTCGTTGTTCGGAGGTCCAAAAGCGCCTGCAGCCGGCTCTGCTTCTCAGAGAGCCGGTGCCGTGAACCACCCCGGAACTCTGAGACATTACCATTTTCTTCGGTCCAAACGGCTCGTGAACGGGGGCGATTTTTTGTTTTGTGATTTTGCCGACGCGTCGTGAACGACGCGCTCTCTCTTGACACCTGTGGGGTGGCTGCGCTCGGCTTGACGAAGCTTCGCCCGATTCGTCACAGCCCCATGCTTCGTGGCCCACGCAGGATCTGGCTCAGCTGGCCGAATGCTTCGTGGCCCTGCGCCTCCGCTTGCCCTTGCGGGATTTGTCCACAACGGCCGGGCTCATCGTGCCGGGGGTTTGGGTTGAATCCAGTGGGGTGTCAAAGCAAGCACAGACGCCATCCAAATGCGCAAGACAGTCTTTAGTAGATCCATTTGCCATGCAGCATCTTTCTAGATATTAGTAGGGAAGCACGGGTTCCAAAGTTGAACAGACTGAACACATAGAGCAGAAGTTCCAAAGGGGAACCACTCACTTAGGGACTTAAAACCACTCCTTTGGAACGGCTGCAAGCTCCAACCCTTGTTGCCTGGAACTGGTGGCAGTGTTGCCTGGCGAACAGGTGATGACCAAGTTGGAAGATGCCGGTGCCGAGGCCAGTTCGATTGGTAACATCGGGCAACACATCCTGTGGTCAATCGTTCTGTATTACGATCCCTTGCTGCTGACTGTTGGTGATTGAATAATCCCTTGATGCTTACTGCTCATGAATGAAGGATCGGTTCTGTTGATGAATGACACCCCCTTATACCTGGACGGCAAAAGGATCTCAATATATAGGGAGGCTTTATCAATCACCACGGAACGTGATTAAACTAGTTTCGATGAACAGAGATCACAGAATCCCTTTCTTATTGCCTTTAAAACTGTTGAAACATGTAGTGAACATGTGTTCTTCCTTCCACCGTGCATTCAGTTAGCAATTGATGTTCTGAGTTCTGAGTTTTCTTTTTGCAGCCTTATGCAACGTTTAAACTTTATACCAATCATAGCATTCATACGACGCTGCGCTGTGAACACCCACTTGGTGCGAACATGTGCGAACGGTGTTAGGCTTTGCCCAGCCTGGTGCGGCTGCTACGATGCTGGGGCATGGGCTCCTTGGTGGGGGGCCCTGGGCTTGAACGACAGCACTGGGCTGGGCATGGAAGCCTTGAACAATGTCAGCTGGTGAAGCGATGCTACTTGTTTGAAGCCCATTTGAACGAAGGCAAATGATTCTAGAGGAGGTGAATGGGGTGAATGGTTTTGACACAGAATGCCTAGCTTTTTCGGCCCTGATGGCCGTTCCAAGATGGTTTGGGAAAGTGGTTTGGGAAGTGACCGGTAGGGACTAGTATGAGAGGACGAGCTGCTTAGCTTCATGGGTTCCCCCTTGGGATGTTGCTGTGAACATGTGTGAATTCAGTCCACTCCAACAATCTTCAGCTTTGGATGGTGGCAAAGAAACGGACATGAGTCACTAGGACCAGGAGGCAAGGATCAAGTAGTATCAAGCAGTCTTTCCGTCGAGGGGTTCTGAATGCTTCAAGGATGGCGATTGTTTGTTGGACCACTATGGTCCATGAGCTGTCTAACAAGTGAACTGTAAGGGGACCAATTCCCTTTCCTGTATTTGTCCATAAAGAAACGATAGAAACGAGCAGTTTTCTTGGATCCACCTGCTTAGGGTCTGATTCTTTCCTTTACAGTACATACTGTTGGTCGACGCTCTGGTCGACGCTGAAGAAGGCCTTTATGGGTGGTCTCCACGAGGTGAAAGAGGTGTTTCACCTTGGTGGGGGGAAGGACCGGTAAACACCAGGTGTTTCAAGCCACGAGATAACTGTGCGGAACGCACCGGGGCACCCTGGTTTTTCCCACGGCGAATGAACAGAAGGTGAACGACCTCGGTCAGACTGGGCTGCTGAAAGGGGCCGCGGGTGCGACCCACCGCCATATCTCCAAGAACGCGCCATGGCCAGTACTACTCCAGCGTCTTTGAGTTCTGCGACACGCATCTGCATGCGATGAAGGCGACGTGGTCAATGGCTGTGTCTTTTCTGTGCCGAATGGGCGTGGTGGGGCCCGGGGGAGGGGTAGGTGGTGGGGTATAGTGGATGACCAGTGAGGGTCAGAATGGTTTTTGCATCCCACCAGGGTGACCGTTCCAGCCGAACCAGCGAACGGACGAGGCGTCGGAGGTGGCACTCTACGTCTACGAGGCACGCGAGCGAGGTCGCGCGGCCAACTGCCGCGGCCTCCACGGAGCGTGTCTTTGTGTTTGTGTGTGTGGCTAACATGGACCCTTTTGATCTTTTTGGAGGAGAGAGAAGAGATAAACTTACTAAAGCAATCCCAATATATCCCATGGAAGTTAACATTTGCAAGAATTGTTGATTTTATATATACATCCGCAAAGGGTTCCATGTCTGGGTGGCTGGAGGATCGGGATGTTTCTTCTTCACTGGCAGATAAGGCCACAGCAGTGGAATTGCTCGCAGGCCCACCTATTAAGAGGATGTTTTTTGTTGGATCTCAGTTGATATACTACCATTTCCTACCATCATTGTAGACTGTTGATTGAATATAACCCCCCTATGAAGAGGTTTTACGACTCAGCAAGGGATAGAGTGGATTCGAGTGGATCCGTGAGTGAGTGCATCCAAATGGGAGGTGTTCTTATGTTTTTTTCATCAACAGTCTACATGAGGCACAAAAAGGGCCGGAAGTACACTGTACATGTAGCCGCGTAGCCACGGTCTTCGTGCAGCAACCCACTGGGTGTACCTGCGGCAGCCAAAGCTGGACACAGATTCGAAAGGCCTTGTGAGGTCCCAAATGCGGTTCCAACGGTTTCAAAAGATGTGATTCTTTCTGTTGCCCAAAAGGAAGTCCCAAAAGGTTGGTATTTAAGACTCGTCCGATGGTCCGAGAGTTCTTGGACTTGCTTGAATGAACACAATTCAATGACATTTGGCCCTGAGCACGTTCAAATGGCTAAACACACCAGCTGAGCTCTGTATTCCAGATGTGTTTTGGTCGTTTCTGGTCGTTGTATAGCCCAACAAGTCCAGCTAGTCCAGGATTCGAGGGGAAAGGATCAAAGACACCCACCGTTCGAAAGGATGTGGCTACGGATATGGCTACGGTTCGATCAACACAGTTCTCTACGATACGCTCGAGTGGAAGATATCCCTGTTTGTCGAGGACATCGCCTGGGAACCCAACACCCGAGGGCAAAGTGGTCGTAGCAAAAGTCTCCTCCGCGCCGCGCCCTTTCCTCCTTGCAACCTGCAATCCTAGGGGCGGGCGTTACTTGCTTGATCAGACTTAGCAATCAGACTTAGCAATCCTTCACTTAGTGAATCCAGGAGTGGAGTCACCAGCATCACTCCACAAGCAGGCCTGAAACTGAAACCATGCATTGAAAGTCCCAGCATCCGCCCTGATGCCATATAGAAATGGATTATCAATGATTATCCTTATAATATATATTTATATCATGCTGATTTATATAGTGTCCCTGTGTACCTTACATCCTGCTTCAGATCTACTGTCAGCATTAACCAGAAACACCACATATATATAACACTAACACCTCTTGGTTCAGACCATATCTTTCGAACACAGGACCAGCGACTACCAGGACCAGCGTTCCTTCGCTGAGCCAGGAACACATTCACGGCCAACGTGCTGTGGAACGCAGGAAGCATCGACTCGTTGCGGGAAATCGACTTGTTGAACAGAGGTTCCCATATTGGGCCTTTTGAAAGCTACAATTTGGAAAATTTGTTTCCTGGGCATTTGTGTAAACAGAACTGGGCTCACATGCAGCAGCTTCGTCATCAGTCCAAGATGTTTCCTTTAGCTGAGATGGCGTCGATTCCGTGTCAGCAGAGCGCCAGCAGTCGCAGTCGCGTACCTTGGCCTGTTTCACTGCCCTTTGGATACAACTACCCTTTCGTTGAAGTAGTTGGATGATGTTAGTCCCTCTGCACACATACAATCCCCAATTACCTTTGCTGGAGGGCATGTCGGGTCCTACCTAGGGCTGATTTTGTTTGTTTTTGGACACACAGGAAGAAGAGATGAAGCAACATTCCAGATGTGTTTGTTGATGGCAAATTGCCCTTCGTTCATGGAAAACATCGGCCGGGGTGAAATGAAAAGGAGCTTCGAGACGTCGAGACGCTGGTGATGGCTTAGTGTCCAGATCAGAAGGTATCCTGAACACGCCCTGTTTGAGAAGTGTTTAAACTGGAAAGAAACTGGTAGAAGAAAATCACCGGGGTAGACCAGATGGTGCAGCACTTATCCCACACTTGTGGACTTGGTCACGTTGTCATCCATTCACTCTTCGAGAGAAACTATGTACTGCTTGCTTATCTGAGCTTCTCGTGTGGTTGATTTGTGTATGTTTTTGATATATATATATATTGGTGTTCAACAAGTCTTCTGTGTTTCGATACAGTCACTCATTCTCATCAGCTTTAAGCCCTCAAGGAAAATCCACTGACTTCACTGGTCGCAGCATCTAAATCTCATTTGCCTCTCGGCTTTTCAGAGGATCCTCACCGAAACGCTTTGCTCCTGGACCGCCCAGGCATCGCCGCTGGACCGCGGCACCCTGCGTGGATGCCGCGCGCTGTGCACGCGACTCCACGTGGACGGCGCGAGTCCGGCTTCGCGCGGTTGGCGTCCGGCGCCCAGCGAGGGACACTGAGATATTCTCCATTGGAAGGTGTACCAGTTTCATAGCCGGTAGGGTGGACTGTCTGACTGGTCGCTACTTGAGGCAAGAACGCCGCAACGGCCATTGGGTGTGTCTCGATATGATGATATATCCGCCTCAAGCATACTCAAACTAGGTTCGTTGACCTCCTAGACATGACCAATGAACAACTCTACACTACTTACAGGTCTCCATTGGACACCCCTTGGAAGCGCCAGTGGTTCACACCCGGAACATTCAGGTCAGTCATTGGGGAACTACCGGTCCGATCAACGGAATGACATCGACATGGCAACTCACCATCGCACGACGGCTTGAAAAGGGGCTAGATTTGGCTCATGCCTTTGTTTAAGGAATGACTTGGTGAAGCCAAGGAGATAGGATGTGAAACAGGGATTCAGTGCTTGACAATCTCTTCCGTGGACTTACAGGAAATTGAGCTTCGAAGGCAAGTTGCTGATATCATATTTTCCAGTATGTGTAATTGGTTTAATTGGTTCAATATCAAGATCCACCCGATCCACATCTCTCCTCACGACGATGGAGCCAAGTGCAGAGATGACCGTTTCTTTTTGCAACACATATTCGCAAACAGACACAGTGACCAGGCGAAAAGCCACGGTGACACGCCGTTTGCATCCATGTTGGACGGGAACGGTTTCGTCACCGTGACGCACCGCATTCGCCGTGGTGCCGCCATCGCGGCCGCCGGTGCCAGGCTCGGCCTCGTTTGCCTTTGCCGTGGCGCTGTCCGTCCGGAGGAGGTGCCCTCCCTCTCGGCGCAGCGGCTTTCGTGAGATGCGCCCTACTCTCAGGGCGGTAGAGCAAGTTGAAGGCAGTGTTGAACACTGGCCATAGAAGAAAATCATAGAGAAATTATGAAAAACCATTAGAATGCTTTGCAACACCACCTGGCGGGACAGAAGAAAACCCAGGTATTTGCATGTAGTTGCCGGGGTTCCAGGTGTCAATGAACAGTTTTATATAGTTTTATAGATTGAGCATGATAGAGCCATTTCCGGACTTCCAAGCCACGCCATTTCCGGGCTATGCATCCACCACCTAAGGTCTGAACTCATCAAAATCATCCAATCAAAGTGGATCAATGTTGCTATTTGCCATCATGCATGGTCTTAGCAAGTATATATTGATGTTTGTGGGTCATAGCAGCAGCACTATCATCAATCCCTCCCAGGAAAGCTTCAGTGATGCCAAAAGGCAAAAAGAAAAGACGGTGGTGAGTTGGTCTGAACCAACCCAAAGAAAGAGTTAATGTTAAGGAGAGGGACTTCTTGGCAATTTGCCGTATACGCCGTATACAAGTCATGCACCGTAGAAGTCAGCGGGTGGTGGTTCTAGAACAGCCCTAGGTCCAGAGGCATCAGCCCGAACCAGTGTACCGTGTTCTTCAGCGAACCGACTCACAGGTTGCTGTTATTTCCTCTCGGAGTGACACGGCCGGAGTGACACACCTCCGTTGTGCAGCTCTTTTTCTTAATGAGACCACGTGCAGAAATTGAGATTGGAGAGCACCGCATGTATGGTCTATAAATGCTCCATTGCCAATAAATACGGCATGGAACAGGTGGCGATGGCAAGGTGAACAACACTGGTATTATACCTGCTTTGCGGAGGAGTAAGAGGAATAATGTGAAACGTTCATGGGTATTGTTCGACCTCGCTCACCGAGATGTCCATGATTTGGATTGACACAGAGTTCCCAAAGAATCACACTTCATCCTGCAGAGACTTATCCATAAGGGAACCCAACGGCCCTTTATGGCCCAAGAAAACCGTTGGGGTTGTTTACAGAACCAAAAGCAGCCCAGTGCCAGAAGCTTCCACACCTCAACCGGCCCTTCAAAAACTTAAGACATGGACGGGACTAGCTGGAATGTGGGATCACCTCCCCTCCCCTCCATCATGCTTGTGGCTGATTCGCGCTCCGGCTGCAAAAGCTGTCTTGGTCAGGTGGGGTGCCACACGGCAGCTGCACGCGACGAGGCGAGAACCCCGCGCGCCGGGGGTTCAGCGGGATACGGCGCAGCAGTGGACGAGCGGCATCAGGGGTTCTGTGGGTTTTGAGATCCAAGCCAAGTACTGCAGCTTGGCTTTGATGAGTGCATTATATACATGATATACTTATCACGCATAGGTTGGGAAGCAGGAACGCATCGGATTTTTTGTGGTTCCATAGTTCCTTTCTTCTTGAGCCTGCATATGCTCAAGTTGACCAAGACTGTTTGTTGGTGTGAGTTCAAGCCAGGCTTCAGCGTTTTGACCCAGAATGCTCGGGCATGATTAGGCCTTGTGTTTGTCCTGAGGAGAATGTCCCTAAGTCCATCTGCAACCCGCACCAAGAAGTCTCTGAACAGAATGAGTGGTTGAAACCCGAAAACGAAGAATGACCATGTTTGGGGTGAAGGAAAAGAGCAGAGCGTGAGTCGCCAGCCGAACGGATTCTCTTTTGAGGTCCCTCTTCAACCCATCGGGGTTTCACTCGAAACAGAGAGGCTTTTATATAGTTCTTTCTGTCTGTCTCTTTAGATGGGAGCCCAAATCATGTGTAATTTGTTGCTCTTTATGTACAACCTTTCCCTGGGATGACTAGTCAATCATTTTTCAGGTGGGAACCCTTTGACACGAAACAGTTAAAGACCCAACATCCCAGACCACTCATGTTTTTGAGGCCAAGACGTGTTCTTTGCATTTAAACCAAATTGCCACAGGCAGATGCACAGCCCAAAGGGAATTTCGAATCCTCCAAGAGACCTGAAATGGCTCGCTCACGCCCTCCCGCCTGGAAAACCACACACCGGTTCTTCGGATCTAACCCTTTGCGCCAGGCGGCAAGCAGAGCCTTTGGCCCCAGAGTCTTTGCTGGAGCCTGCGGCTCCCTGGGTGTTGGTCGAGGTGGAGCTCGAGCCGGTCCGTCAGACGTATACCAGACATCCTGTGGCGTGCAGGAGGCCACTGCATGAGGCGTTCTTTGTGTTCTCTTTTTGGACAAGTGACAGTCCGGAAATGTTTAAAGGCAAGACTTGGATGCTTGTGTTTGATTTATATAGTTGCATATCGTGTTTGTTTGTTTGATGTTTGTTCAATTTGATCGTTTATTAATGGATATGTTTCGAACTGATGATGCTCAGCTGCTCTGTTTTGGAGCTCCTGGTCCGGACGTTTCGAAAGCCTCTTCGCTCTAAGCTCACAAGGAATGAGATACTCTGATACTCTCCTGGAACTCACAGACGGAAGTGGATGGCAGTCTGTTTGGTGTTCGGAGAATGGTCTTCTCTGAACTCGGGGCCATGCCGTCCACTTCCACTGTAGTTCCAGGGAGTGCTGAATCCGATCACTTGCTGCCCAAAGCACTGAACTTGGATGACCTGTGACAGGCTTTTCCAGACTCTTGCTGTGAATCTTGATTCCTATGATGAATGTAGAATCACCAACCAGGAATATTCCGTTTATTTGTGCCAGTCATCTCATTTACCACGATGTTGTTGATGTGTCCATCCATGTCGTTTGGCAGCCCTGGCAGGCTCCTCCTGGAAGTGAGCAGAGATATTACTACTGGAACCAGGTGGCCCGAATAAATTTGCAGTGGTTAAGAGAAAGATTTCAAGTCAATCACTAGAATCACTAGAAGAAAGAGTTACTAACGTTGGGGCCCGTTGGGGGTGGTTGAAAAACATTCTAGACGTGCGGCTCCTCCAAAAACCCTGCAAACAGCTGCGAGGATTGGAGGAGAATTTCTTGTAGTTTCTTTTTTTCTCCAGGGATCCTAAAGGTCTTTTGGGTGCTGTGAGAATGGATTTGTTTCCTAATCAGTACGAAGATAGCTCTAGACTTAACCCATCGTTTGTGCGTCTTGTTCACGCGGATTTGCTGAAAGTGGAAATACAAGTGCCATTCAACCCAGCCTTGGTACCGCTAACAAGTCCGTATAATTTCACCATCAAAACCATCACTTTGTTGGTCACGGTGTCCTGCCCCAGCTTGTTTGATTCTCTTAATGTGGCCCTTGGGAGTAAAGGAACTGGCCACCACTGTGTTCACATCTTACAACTAGCTTTGGAAGTTTTCTTCTGTGTTGTGAATGCTTTAAGGCTTTGTTGCTTTGATATGTTGCTCCTGGATCTGTCACCGTGATCGATCCAGGAGACGAATGAAACCCGCTGGGACCTGCCAGAAGAGGCTTGGTGCCTAAGAGGTGGTGAACTGGTGATCGCACTCGCTTGGTGACCTGGCTTCCACATGGATGGTGCCTTTGGATGACGCCAATTGATGGAGTTCAAATGTCCATTTTGCATGTCAATGGTCACAATTGTTTTGTTTCTACGTAATTGTTATACGTATCATGGGTATTCATGGGTTACTTAATATATACTATAATATAGTTATGAATTAATATGACTTATAATGGCCAGCAGTCTATCCAATTTTCCCCCAAGGGCTTCCGAGTCACCTCGAAGAGGAACTTCCTCATCCAACAGACGCATGTGTGAGTTCCATGTCGGAGGGATGATAGACACCCGCGTAATTAAGGACTATAGCCCAAAGGATGAACCTGGCCATCTCTTCCGACCGCATGATCCTTCTTTTCCTGTACTCCAGACTGTGGTGACCGTGGGTGTTGCATGCCACGGTGGTGACCGTGGTGACCTCCGTGGTTCTGTTCTTCGGAGCGAGGGACCGTGGGTTTGGTGGCATCACAAGCTTGGACAGACTCGGCGGGCGGATGTCAGTACGGACATCCTGGTGCTCGTTGATGACTCTAATCAGACTAGGACCGGTGACACGATTGTAGCTTTGCTTGTTACTTGTTATTTTGTTTCTGTGTTTGGATTTGTTTAAACAAAACAATCCAACTACGAGGGGTGACTGGATGGTCAGTTTCTTCTTAGAACCACTGAGTTTGGTCTTTTTTGCATGACAGGGGTCAGTTAAGCATTCAAACGACTTTGGTTGTGATATGATGTGATGATTTGCGACATTGGATCACTGGCTTTTAGACATCAGGAAGGAAGGCCCTTCTAGCTTTTAGATCTCCAGAAAAGAATTGCCTCACGCCTTCCGGGGCACCGAGCCTCATCCCCTCGGACGACAAGTGAGGAAACAAGGAAGACACCCTAAGACAACCCCACCGGGCAACGTCTTTTTGTCGAAGAGCCCCAAGGACTTGCCAGGACTGCCATTCAAAAAAAGTGTTGGGTCTGACCCCATGTGCTTTCAGATCGTCTCAGAGCCCTTGGGTGACAAATCATCACCCTGAACAGATGGCCAGATCAGGGAAAACTCCGACTCCGACCCCCTACACATCCTGTTGAGAGTGGCTTTGCACAAGCGCTCGTATCTTCCCTGTTTACATGGCATTGGCCGTATTTGGGCAACTAAACAATGGGAGAGCGCCTCCAAATGAACTAGCAATGGAACCCACGACAGTTTTGTTGCACCATTGTAGGGGCGGGGGGAGGACATGGGCGTGGGTGGGCTGCACCAAGGCGGTAGCAGCGGCAGCGGGAGTTGTGGAGGATCTGCAGAGCGGTGCGCCTGAAGCAGGCAAGCAGTACAGAGCAGCCGACCTTGTTTTCAGACTCTGGGGTGTTGAGGGTGGGTGCACATCTTGAAGAGACGTAAGAGCCATGCGATTTGTGGGTGAAGATCCAAGTCAGCTGCATGGGTGACCATATTCTCATGGATCATATGTGGGTCACTTCTCCGCTACTTGGCGGGGAATTTTGGGGTGACATCCCAACAAAAGATGCTGGATGCTCCTCCAGTTGCCCCATGTGTCCAGTTCCCCGCTAAGTCTCGAAGCAGCGCACGGTCCGAGCTGGTCTCGACCAGCGAACAACGGAAGGTCTCGATCCAAAGATGGAGCCAGTGAAGGCAACGTCCTTAAGTAAGTCCTGTCACTGTAGCAGAGACGAACGTAGAACACCACCAACATGTTGTGTGTATATAGTGATGAAGAAAGACCACGGGCAGCAACAAGTTGTGATTCAGGTGTTTTGGGATGGAGCCAGATTGATACTTTGCACAACTCGATTCTAGCCAAACCAGTGTTCCAGTGTTCCTAAAGGCTGAAGGGAATACTGAATACTTCAGCTTTGGTGATGTTTGCCGGAACCTCTCATGCTTTTCTTGCAAAGGCTGCAAACTCCAGCCCCTTCCGGCCGCTTCAGCTTCACAGGTGCATGGCGCGAAGCGGTGTCGCCTGGGAGCTCAGCATCAGCACTGAAGCGCGGTTTAGCGGTTTCGCAGCTCTTGGGGAGGAGTTTGGATGGTTTTTAGATGCTTTTTGGTTGGTAAAGAGTTGTTTCTCAGTCTTCGAGGCCCGGTCTGGGGTACATTGAGACAGGCCTAAGCCTAAGCCCCGAGTTTGAACATCGGCGCAGGGTCAGTGAGGCTCAAACATACGCAAAGCCTACAAGCAACGAAGTGATGGTGGTGAAGCAGATTAGATGTTTGTTATGTACGTCTGTTACGTCGTCCAATGCAACAAAGTAGTTCAGTAGGTGAGGCAAAAGGCTCCTTTGGAAGACTTTTCTTCTCTACAAAGATGGGATGTCCCAATCCATGTTTTTGCCGGATTTGAGATGACGGTCCAGCAGGTCCCACGTCACTTTTGTCATTGCGATCCACACAGCTTTCGTTTTTTTCCACACAGCTCTCGTCCTGTCTGTAGGGGTTATCACGCCAGGGAGATGACTGTTTAGGATTGTGGTACTGTAATCCTGAAGCTTTAAACCGGTGGGCAAGGTTAATGTTGTCACAGTTGAACCAACTGCAATAGAATATCGCACTTAATTACGTAGAGATGTAGAGTAAAGTATGATTGTGGTATAGTCTAGTACTAATGTAGATGTAGTAACATGTAGTAACTAGAGGTTGTTTGAGTGGTTGTTGGTCATTTCCCTCTGTGCGACACAGATAGGGCCCTCTGTGAGTCTACCAACGACAACCGAGTCGAGTTCACCGACGTATGTCGACGTCCGACACCACGAGGGACAGCGGAGACGTGTACTATTACAATGAGGCGTGAGGGACGATGGGGATGATCTTGTTTCTAATAGCTTCTTGTTACGTTCGTAGTATGGCCAGGAGCCCCGTTCGTAAGGTCCTTGTTCCTAGTAGTACGGCCAGAAGCCCTGTTCGTAGTGTCCTTGCTCCTACCCCCAAAGTCATTGGGATGTCCAATAGTACATTCTGGTGGGGATTCGGCAACAGTTCCTCCTCCAGCCTCCACGACTGATCACCATGTCGTCTAGGTTCGGAATGCTGGGATTCAGTCGTACCTTCTCAGGTATGGTGATTGGAGACACTGTTATGTAGGGTTGGAGGATCCAAGTCCAAGCACCTTCTGAGAAGGCACTTGGATCCCTAGCGATTTGTAATTTCCTCATCTTGCTTAGATGATGTCAACATCAAAGGATATCATCAAAGGGGTCGATGGAGCGCATGCACAGCAGCACAATATCCGTCCAAGAACTTCACGATTGAAGAACAGGGCTCTTGGGAGTTATTGGCGAAGTCGGCCCGCAGGTGACCATGGAAACCTCCTGGACCTTACCCGGGCAAGAGGATCCGCGCAGCCCGCGGGTTCACTAAGCATATAGTGATCATAGTGGGAAAACGAGCTTGCTTAAGCCACGTATCCTAAGCTGGTGCGTGAGCTGAGAAGAGCTGAGAAGAGGGTGTTGACCCATGTTGTCCTTGGTGTCACTTTTGGATAAAGGATGATTCCTGAGTGTTCCAAAATTCCGGAGCTTGAGTCCATGCCCATTTTCATTGTGGTCTTATTATTGCCACGGGTGACAAGAACCTTTCGTGGCTGAGGAATTTAGTTGAAAAGGTGATATATACTGTATAATAGAACCAGTAATAGAACCGACTTGTTATTGGAACTTCTGTTTTCGGTTTGGCATACCGATGAACCTGCTCGGCTTCGATCCATCGGCTCGGCTCGGTGGTGGCATCTGTTCTCGCACTTTTGGCAGGCTTAGTTCAGGTCCCTTTGTGAACTTTTGGGGTCAACCTTCAGATCTTCATAGATCTTCAAATCAGATGGATCATCAGATCGTTTATGTGGACGAAGCAGTTTTGTTTCCATTCATCCTTGATCAGAACGGATCAGACCGGTAGGTACTGCGAGTGGTATGGCAGAGCGGTGCATGGTGCTTGTTTCTGGCTGATCACCTGATGACCCAAAGCCATCGCTTACATTCTGAGGGTTTACACTTTGTTGTTTCATCCTGTTCCTTTTGATCCATCATAGACCAAAGATGACCAAAGTAAAAGAACACTGGTTTGCAGTGACTATAGTCATGCCAGTGTCCATTCAGAGGTTATGTCGGACCTTTCAACTGGCTCACATGTCTTTATTGTTGAAATGCTTGTTAGAAAGCTGTTAGAGCATCACACAAGTATGATTGGAAGGTCTTGCGATGTTCATTCAGATGTATTCCGATGTACATGCACGGGTCTTACCTCGAACCTCATCCTTAGTTCTCCGTGTGTGAGAATTAACCAAATACTCAAAACAGTGCCCCTTCCTATCTACACAGCTCTCAGGATAGGTGCATAATATATATATATATATTTTATATAATATGTATTTACTTCATCATCTACCCACCAATTTGTACATAGACGTCCACACATGCCCATGCCCCTCTCAGGAGGAATTGGACAAGCTGGATGCGGACGACGTGGACGACGCGGAAGATCCGGACGACACGGACGATGCGGACGGCGCAGAGGATGTGGACGACCAGGTGCACGGTTGTTCGCCAGACGGGCGTTAGCAGTGGAAGATTCAACTCGTCGAGTGAATGTATCAAACTACAGGTTGCAGCTTTCGATGTTTTGTACGGATGAACATTTACAGTATACACATTTACAGTAACTCAGCAAGTGATGAGAAAGGATCCAAGCATGCCAGAGTTGTAGATGAAGTTGTAGACCAGAGACATATATCCAGTCACCATGCGTTGTTGTTCCACCCGATGTTGACTGAAGAGGCAGTTTCTGCTCACAAACTTGACGAGATTGAAGAGGCCGAGGCCTGGCACCGTTGTTTGGCCCACTTGAATCAAATCATATCTCACATATTGAAGGCGCTTGCGTGTGTGTTGTGTGGGTACTTGTGTTGGCCTTGGATGCTACTGTAATTCAATCGATACAGAAGAACACACTGTATTGGTTGTCTAAACCTGTCAACATTTGTGATGCAGAGATTTGTTCGATGCAGCCACCACTGTACTTAGAACAATCACTGCAAAAAGAACGGAACCTTTTACGTGTACCGAAGCAACCTCTTGGAGTGTCCTGAGTCTTGGAGGATACCTTTATGCATTGTTGACCTGAACTTTTTTTCATGCAGGTCATTCTCGCAAGATGTTGTCCTCAGTTGTCCTCACATCTACAAGAAAAGGTGGAAGGATGTCTTGGAGGAGTCAAAGATCGTCAAAGCATGAGAAGGGCGGTTCGGATCGATCGATGTTTTGATGCGCGAACATTGGTCGTGTTTCGGTCGAACCGTATTCGATCCGTCGTGATCCATTTTCACCCGGTGACCCATTTGTGCAACACAGGGGGAACATCCCTGATAGTGGCTGACGTGGAGCCATTGAGAGATACTGAAAGAGGGGTAGTTCATCCACCATCAATCCCTGTTGACTTTTTGTATTGAAAGATGGGAATTATACATGTTGTCAGGTTCACTTGGCATGCCACGACCACCAGGATTCAGCGATGACGGATCAACACAATGAGATAATGCTTGTGACACACCCACGCCATGGCTGTTTGGGACGTTCACACATGTTCACACACAAGGTCTCCGAGCCTTTTGACAAGGCCCCCAAGGAGGAGGCAGGCGAGGGGAATGGTGAAACTGCAAGCCTGTTGAGACTGCAAGCCTGGTGGGCCAATGTGATCTTAACGTGCAAGAGCACTTAGATAACTCCGCAAGAGACCCGCTTCTTCAGAGGATGTGAAGTCTTCCGGGGGTATGGGATGTTTGGGTACTCGAAGACTCCACGTGGGTCCACGGGTCTTGAAGATGACCTCGCATGGTTCATCACCACTTGGGGTTTGACTTGTGTTTGTATAGGCACTCTCGTGCGATTAGCCGAGTGGAGTGACAACAAAGGGGTGCATCACGTAGGCCAGGCAGCCAGGCAGCCAGTCAGGTTCTCCTCCTCACCGGCGATCAAGACACATCCTCCATCGGTATCAGGCGTGACAGGTCGAGTCATGCTAAGAACGGCGCTGACAAGGCCGTTCTCACTTCTCCTGTGGCTCCAAGTACTTTGTGAGAAGATGTTTGCTAAATACCTTCCGAGGAGGTACTTGGAGCCCTAGGGTCCAACATCATCATTGAGAATTTCTTCAATGCCTTTCAACGTTGAGCCCATTGTTGCATCGTCGCAGGGGATCCATCGTCAGAGTCCGAAACACAGCAGCCCGCGCCACGTGAAAATGCGAATGAATCGAATGAGGTATGCACCATTTTGGGCGTAATGTTTCACTCACACTCGCTGGCCACGCAACCGACTACTAGTGGAGGCCAAGCCCCACTAGGCTTTCCCATCTCAACCATACACCATTTGCTGGCTGCCGGCGTCGTCGAGCGCTGCATTGGTGTCCTGCGGGAGCGACAATACAGCCGATCGCACAAGCTTCATCTCACTCGATGCTTGGCGGTCTCCATAAACCTCAAGGGGTGTTTTCTCCACGAAGAGACGTTTCTTTGACAGACCAAAAAGACGCCTATCACTCAAGGAACCCCAGACAGTGGAGGGAGGGAAATTTTTGGTCTCTCCTGCTCTACACCGATGCCTTTAACGTCCCGGAGCGCTACATCATTTCGGTATCATTGCGCAGTCCTCTTCGATCCCCGCAATTCAGTCCGTCTCTTCTTTGCATCCCCACTTTCCCACATTTCGTCTCTGATCCCAGACTCAAGACGCTCCAAACTGCATGGGTTTCTTGCTCCGGCCTTGCAAACTTGGCGTTGACTTACAGACCGGTAATTGGTCATTCGTTCCGAACTGGGTGAATCCCCGAAACTGGATCCAGAAATGTTGTTCCCTCAGTTCCGAGCGAAATCCAGCGAAGGTGGCCCCGATGCTGGCCCCAACCGCCGGACTCGCGACCGCGGAGCCGGCAAGTGTTGCCAGTTCCTATGCGGAGCTGAAGGCGGGGCCCGTAGTACTGTTGGGTGGAAATGGGACGCCAATCCCACTGGTTAGTGGAGAGCAAGCAGAGAACTAACCCGTGGTCATGGTCCATTACTGTACAAGAAGGAGATTGAAGGCATGTTGAAAGAGATGTTCCATCCGAAGGATACGTACTGAAAGGGAAAGATGATGAGGTCCAGGTATTGTTGAAGCAGCTACCTCGGGCCTTGTCAAGCAGCTGCCTCGGGCTTTCATGATACGGTCCAGTGAGCATGTTCGAGCCTGCTGTCCATGTGGAACTGTTCTCCCGGACCACCTGTTTGACCCATCCTGTTGAAATGTCGGGAACTCTTGGATTACCAGTTCTAGGCAGCAGAGTTGGCAGATCAAACCGATACCAATGCTCGAATATCCTCGATCATTTGGGTGAATGACTGCAGCCCCACTCAAGCAAAGTGTGTTGTCTTGGAAGATGGATTCTAGATTCTAGATGATTCAGCTCCTAAGATCTAAATCCATCTTCCAAGATAATCCATCTGATAATCCATCTCATGATAATCCATCTCATGATTCATCGAAACATCTAAACACAAATTTTCTCAGCTCCTGAGATCTCTAGGCAGCATGGCCGTCAGGTGAGTGAGCTCAAGGATCTCTTGAAACAGAGGGGCCTCACAGTCAGCGGCCGCAAGGTGGGCTGCTTTTGGAGCGATTTCGGAGGGTCAGATGATTGAGATGAGTGGCACACGACCTCCCGCCCCCAATTGATGTGAATGCCAAACATTCCGATTCCTAAAGTACAAGACTAAGACCTCTTGGAGGGCCCTGGCGCCGCCCGCAAGCGCACCTGTCTGGGGCTTCCCAGCATGGACTTCACCCCATCCATGGTCCTTCTACAGTACATCCTTCGACCCTTCAGAAAGGGCCCTGAGGAGGTGAACTTCCGACCTGTTTTGTAGTTGTACATACGTTCCGGGAGAGAGGGGAAAGACCCCACCTCAATGAATTCGATGTTGAGTGGCGTTTGGGGGTTCGTTCATGTTAGTGTATACTTACTTCCAACTTCCCGGGAAACAAGCATTTTACTTCGAGTGATCCCCACCCTGAGAGGCGAATTGAAAGAAGGCAGGGCACATGTATTGACAGACTATCCTGGCAAACGTGGCCTGATATGTGTATTTACACAATGTTATGACGCTTGTTCTGGCATCAAGTCTGGTATGTGCTTTGGCACATCAACTACCATAAAGGCAGAAATGTTCTGGGCTGTGTTCTGACGTCCTTGTTGGCATGAGTTCTGACATTCGTCCTGCCGTGAAGTCTGACATGTGCTGTGACATATGGTCCGACTTCGGTCCTGTTCTGTGTTTTGCCATGTCGCCATGTATGCCGGCGTGTTTTGCCATCAATGAAGGTGTCTATCTTGCATCTTGCATATCTTCTGGCATTTGTTCTGACTGGCAATTGTTCTGACAGCTTATCTGGCATATATCCAGGCACTAATGTGCATATTTTTTGACATGCTTTCTGGGATGTAACCTGCCATTCTATTATTTTCCATGTTATATATATATATATATTCTAGCATTATGTCTGGCATGTTGTTGACTGGCTGGTGACAGGTTTGTTGGTAGGTGGCTGGACTCCTGCAGTCCAAGACCTGTGTTTCACTTCGGGGTTCTATGCGCGGACCTGCTCGGCACTCAAAAACGTTGCCGCTGGTCGTTCTGCACAGGACGAGTTACTTGCGCGGCTGGAGGAGAGCGAGGCGAGCGGAAAGGGAGCATTGGATACTGGGTGGTTGTTACGTTTTTGTGCATATATATTCATTTCAATCATCACTCTGAATCTTTAAATGTTGGCGGGTTGAAACTTGAACCCACCGTCAAACAAAGAACAATCATCCTATGTTCAAAAACAACACACTTTAATCATCCTTGCAAAGATGAGAACAATGAACGGACTTGACTTGTCAACCCCTGGACAAATATGAATTGAAACATACCTTCGTGTCCAAACCAGAAAACCACGTCATTGCTGGCACAGCCGGTCACCGGCTGGCAAAAATCACCAGCAACTGGATTGACCGAACAAATTTGGGAGACATTGTACCAAGTAGTCTTTCATTGGGCCAATTTGTTTCAAGGAAAGGACTGAAGTGACGAGTCACAGCTGAAGTGACGAATCTTTCATTGAACATGGGATTACCTTGACATTGCCGGTGGATCTTCACAGTCACACCAGTGATATTTTAGTCAGTGTGGTTGATTTAGGGTGGACACTGTGGCTCACATTTTGAACAACATTTACTTCGAATTCCAATCCCAGTTGAAAAGTCCGGCTGAGGGATTACTCGTTTGCTATGTAGATTAATTAGTATAATAACAATATCCACGTATTGTAGTTGATGTTTTCGGAATGTTCCATGCACCGAGTATTTCCAAGCATTTAAGTTCGTGCACAAACTAAGCTAAACATAAACCAAACAGGTTTTGTTCCCACAAAAAGATCCAAAGACACGTTTCGTGTCAGATGGTGTTCGATTGGATGCTTTGGGCTTACCATGCATTGGTTGAGAAACCATCCACCTCCGCAGAGTTGCCATCGCGCCATTCTATGCGTTCCCTAGGCAACGGCTGAACCGCCAAAGGCCGCACCAATTGCAAAGGCCGCGCCAAAGAAGGTGCACTGGGGAAGGAGGAGTTTGCAGTGTTTGCAGGGAGGCTGAAGTTCCAATGAACCATAAATATATGATATAGCATATAGCTAACTGTGTATATAGATCCAAGAGGTATCTAACAGGTATAGACATCATCAAACTTTGGACACATAGTTGTCTACCCGATTTCTACCCTTGTAGCTGTGTTTTTCCATTCTACAATGCCCTAATGCTTCTCATGACACAGGTGCTTTGAGTCCCCATATTTGCAGGAACCCTCGGATGACGTGGAAGAGGCAGCGGTGAAAGGGGGGGGAAATGGGGGCCATTAGATGGCACCAACCCCAACCAAGATGTCTTTTAGATCGGGGTCCATATCAACCACCGTCACTTGGGGCTTGTGCCGTCTAAGAATCTACTCTCAATCCACTGTTGTAGAAGTGGTGGTGGCCAGTGCTTAGATGGCCCCATCAGTTGAAACGGGCAGGAGGTGAAGTGATGGGAATCCCCCGATCCGCGGTGGCTAGACCGTCTGGAGTACGATCCGTCGCCCTGATCCGCTTCTAGTGACCAAAGGCTTTACGACTGTAAATTGAAAATTTGAGGTGTCCACTGGTCTTCTGAAGAAGGAGTTGGAGGCCATCCGAATGCCCTGGTGATCTAGGATTGCATCCATCCAAAAGTGTCAATCAGCATCTTCCGGCAGGGGCATCTTGATGAAGGTGGTGGAATAGCTTAACCCTACACTCGTCTTGCAGAACAGTGTTCATTCTGCACGCTCGATCCCCAAGACCTCGCCTGAAAGATAACTCGATAAGCCACACAGACCCCATTGTGCAACATGCAAAATCCATCAACATCGGCGAAGGGGCGGTCCGCCAGCGCGGCTGGAGCCTCCTATGCTGGCCTGAAGGCTGGAGAGATTTCAGAACTTCAAGTAAGCAGAATAATGATTTTGTGTAGTGAAGTGGTTTTGAATAGTGCAACTGTGTGTTTCATCACGGCAAAGAAAAAACAAATCACCTCACCCGTGACGAGACCTGAGGCAAGCGAGCTGCGAGATCTTTTGAGGTCCAAAGGCCTCAAAACCGTTGGCAAGAAGGAACGCTTCCGCACTGCCCAGAACGCGCTCGTGATGTATGGTTTTTTTCTTCTCCGGGGCGGAGCCATTTTAACTTGCGAAAGGCTAAGCTGGTCTCCTTTTTTTGCCAGAAAGAGATGAATTTAATATGAACTAACTATGGTGTCAAAGTTGCAACCGGCCAGGTGGCTCATAGTTGATCATTGCTTGTAGTTTAGATGGGATGTTGGGTGCATATGGTTGCAAGATCCGAAGATTCCATCAGGTTTCATGTGGATTGGATTGATCAAGGATTTCTTTCAGATAGCAGGTTCAATGAAGCTGCGGGTCTGGTTACGTAAATGAAAGTGGTGTGAGGATTCTGCAGGTAAGTTCTGAGAGTCTGAATCTGATGTTTAAAGTGCCCATTGTCCCTTGCACCAAACAGTGTGGCTCTACGGGGTGTTCCCAAGCCATGTGTGGGGGAAGAGATTCCTGAAAGCTTGATTGCTGCCAGACTGATGCCAATATTTGAACACACGGTCTTTGGTAGAAGCAACATGCTTGAGGGAGGGAACAAACATAGCGATTTGATTCAATGCCCGTGCCCTTGCAACGATGTGTTCTGTTCTGTGACCAGGCCCCCACATTAATTATATAGACCGTTACAATCAGAAGGTGAACTAGCTTCCCAAAGCCTGCAAGTAAACCCTCGGAGTATGTACACAGGGTGCACCATGTGTGCCAAGTTCATTAGCATGTCGTCCGAGACTCCTGAAGATTGTGTTGCCAAACATCCCACAAAGTCCTACCAGATCTATCTAGTATATCCCAAGAAGTATAACAATTTGTAACATTGAATATTCATGAATATGCCATAAACACTGCACTAAGGGATCCTAAGGGTATCTACTAATGTTGGAGTATGGACTGCTCATCCACTTCCTCTTTGATATGTATTCCCTGAATTCGGGACCGGTACACTGACCCTGAATTCGGTGCGACCGTTGGGACACCGATGGGTAACAAAGACATCTGCCCTCAGACTCCGATTTCCGGTCCCCTCCATTGGACCGGGGAAGAAAAGACCCTCACCCTGTCGGGTTCTTGAGGGCTCGGATTCGGTGGGTTCATGAGGAAGTCGAGTCCACCGACTTTCCATATTTGTGAGCAAGTAGAGTGAAACAAAACGCTTGCACCATCGTTCGGTGGACTCGATGGTGCAAGGTCAGATCGTGGGAGCTCGGTCGACTCGTGGATCGCCAACCTTCTTGTGGATGATTGGTCCTCGAAGATTCCCAACTTGTGGTCCTTCTTGTGGTTCTTCTGGTCTTGTGGTCCTTGTGTTTTGTTGAAACATTTTCTTTTGTTGAAACCTTTTTTCTGGTTCGTCCCTTTCCGTGTGAAGGATTGGTCCTTCATGATGGAATGTTCCCTACTGGTTTGTGGAAGCTTGTCTACCAGTCCCGTCTTCAGGTCCCAGAATCGCTCGGCGGAGAACAGCGGTCCTCGGCACAGGAGGAGCTGATCGCGCGCCTGGAGGAGAACCAGGCAGAATCCGCTCGTTGCACGGGGCGGCCGACCAGTGGCCGTCTCGCACTTCCGCGGGACTGAAGCCGAAGCTGAGCGAAGCAGCCATTTTGACAGTGTAACTAGTTGTTTTGATCTTCTATCACAGTAACTGACTAGATTGGTATAGCTGGTAAAATGGGTACTCCAGCTACAACATATTTGGGGTTAATAGATTTTTATTGTGGGCGGGCTCAAGGAGTCGTTACAAGGATCCACAATTCAATATCAATATGGTCGTGGACCCCTGAAAAACTAGTGTATGTGGTCCAGTCGCGTTCTTGGAGATACTTCGAGTTGCTCAGGTTTCCCTTGATGACTTCTTCGAGCTGGAAGATGCACCAAGGGAGGCTGGAAATGTGCGAGAGTGGCTGACTAGGTGGTATCAGGCTTAGGTGGTTTGCTGCTTTGACTCTGAGGGTCTGGTTTGGGTCTACGATTCCCAGTAATTTGTGCCCATGACAGGCATGAAGACACCACTGACTTTTTGAGGATAAACAGGCAAGATAGACCTTTGAAGCTTCAACTACTGTTTTGTCTACCCAGCAACACAGGTGCGGAAAAAGCCTCCCCATCAACAACAAACTGTTCATGCCACATGTGATGCTGCAGTGCCAGAAGCAGTTCCTGTCTTTTTGACACGGCCGTGATCCTGTCACTCCACCACATTCTGTGGCGTTCACTCACCTAGAGTCTCCATCCAATTGTCCTCCGTTTCTAGTCTTGGCTGGGGCGAGTTGTTTGTCCGGAGCAGCACTTGATCCAAGTGTTTGCCATGGTGTTGTTTAGGGTAGTTGTTCCTTTCCCAATGGGTAAATCCCCTAAACCGGGTCATTCCCGGTCCGACTGCGACTGCAAACGTTGCACGCCCACGTGACGTTTGGCCGTCGGCGCATGACACGCGGGGCCGCCCCGGTCATGCGAAGCACTTCACCGCTTCCTCAAGAGCACTCGCATTGTTCCATGTTATTGCAGTGCGTTGCATGACCAGGGATCCCTCCCAAGATTGCAGGCTTGTAGAGGGCACACCCCGCAAAACGTTACAAAACGCTTCCTTCCACAAGGTCCTGCACATGATGTGGCTCAAAAGGTCAAGCTCAAAACCGCAAAAAAGTCCTGCAGCTTGAGGCAGTTAAGGTCTTTGTGTTCCTTTGCAGCTGCAGGTTCTGGGCACCCTACTGACTTGAAACGGTGTCACAATTGGGCTTCAGACACGTTTCGAGGCAACCCTGACATCCGAGAGTGGTGCGGCTGCTGCTTTTTTGGAGAAGGCGCACGGCCAGATGAAGGGATTTGTGGGCAAAAAGACCGTCGCTCTTCATTTCTTGGCGAAGGCGAAGATTGTTTACTTTTTTTAGAGCCACCATGGTAGTTGCCGACAAAGGCCGCAGGCCTGGCCGCTTGGGTAGTTGATTCTCCGTTTGTTTCTTTTCGTGGAGGATGGAGGATTGCGGATATTTCGGACATGGGAGGACCTTCGGCGGTCTGAGAGCACAGCGGCAGTCTCTGTCATCCGGTTATTCTTCAAACGGCCCTTTGGATGTCAACTTCTCAGTTGTGTCAAACCAGCTACTGTATATAACAAAGAAGTTGGCTAGACTATAGCAGCTATAGTATATAGTCTAGCCAACTTCTTTGTTACATGCTTTTGGGGGTGTAGCCATGTACCCAATGGAACCAAAACACGCCCCGGGCAACGTGGTCCGAATTCGGCGCATGTTCCGGTCTGCCAGCCCCACGAATTCGGTCGCCTTAGCGAAGGTTCGGTGCCCGGAAGGTTGGCTGGAAGCTTCTGGAAGGTTGGCTCCTTATGCGTGGCCCCCCCAAGGAATAGAACAGGTCCCGGGTTGGTTTCACTGGGTCACTGTGATGTTATGTGGAGAAGGTCATGTGGAACTGAACATGTTTTCTGAACGCACCTTTTTGGGGTTCTGAGGGTTCTGGCCAAATCCACAATCCATGGGAACTTGCCGCATCTGAGAACACCGAGTAAGAAAAACTCCGCGACCTACCACGTCTGGGTACTGTTGCAGGAAACCGCACAAAAATTGTGGTCCAGAAATATATATATATATACTATTATAAGATGTGTTCACCGTCCTGCGGTTCTCACTGTTTTAGAAGGGATGCAGTGTGACTGGGGCCGGTTGGATTTGGCTGCTGCTGCTTGGACCGCTAGGAGTTGAATTTGGCGTCGGGCACCGTCAAGCTGCCGAAGGACCACTGGTGATGGTCGGATGATCGTGCGCGGTCCGGCGGGGTATTCTGCTGACATCATGGGCGCGTTTCCATGATGTTTTGGGTTGGAACAAATGAAGTGAATCTCTGAGGGAATGCAAGAGTCCCTTGAAACATCTTGAAACCAGCATACGTATATTCAATTTGTTTGAAACGGAGTCATTTGGGCAAAAGTGGTGAACAGTGGAGGTGAAGATGTATGCTGCCAAGTGGTTTGCGAAGTTTTGACTGACCTATTATCCCCAAAACCTTGGCGATATTCCTCTTCAACAGCTGGTGCCCTTGAATTTGGTGCAAAAGTGGCAGCCGTGTCACACAAGTTATCGCACATCCCTGTAGATCCCTTTTGAATGTGGGTGTGCATAACGAAAACCACAAAGGAGCGCTGAAACGGCGAACATGCCGCACATGCCCAAGAAAGCGGCTGTTCAATCTAAAATCATCTAAAATCTATAGTCCCATTGGCCAGCGTGAAACGGTAGGCAATGACTTGGGAGATGGGTGCGCATTTTTTGCCAATAACTTTCAACAGAGGGTTTTCTATCAGGTCTTTCACCAGAATCATTTGGTTCGGTCTTCACCCTGTTTTCTTTGGCTGTCAGCTGTCTTAGTGGCGCAGGAGGCTTCAGCAAGCTTGGCGAGAGAAAGCCTCGGCTTTCTACTGGAAGAATTGATGCCATGCAAAGAATTCTGGGCTTTTTGGATTTAAGTTTCTTGCTGCTGGGAGGGCCAGGGCCAAAATACGACTGTATTTTTGTAGGGAGCACAACAGTTGGATTGCTCGCAAGAAAGAATAAGAAAGATACACACATATTGGATGTTCGTTCTCTTAGGATTTGTTTAAGACATCAAAAGAAAAGACACCCAGCCATCTTAAGGGACGAGACTGTGCATGTGATCCCCATCGACCTTCATCCGACCCCTGCGGTTGAAACCGGCGGCCCGAACCGCTGGCTGTCGGTATATGCATCGGTTCGCTGCCTCTTGCTGTTGGGTTTGTAGTTCTTTTCGCCAAAGACATGCAGGTGTTGCATGGCTGGTGTTTTTTCTATAAAACAATGATTGGACATGATGGGAATACATATTTACACATCCACAGAGGAGCTGTGTTTTCTGTATTATATATATATTATATCTATTGCATATAAATGGCAGGGGAATCAAGAACCACACTTTCGCAGCAGACTTTGGCAAGTGAACACATGTTCATTATTGATGTGTCCTCTCATTGTGGTACTAGCGTTCAAATCCTTTGTGAAGTGGTCATACATGGTTCAAGAAAGGGTACTGCCTGCTGGACCACATCAATCAACTTTGCTGTTAAACTATATATTCAAAGAAAAGTAATGTTCTTTGTTTTTAAATATAAAATAAAGTTGTCCGGAACCTCCCAAGATTGAGTTTAGATCTTTACTGGCATGCCAAGTGTGTCCGACTGATATGTCTTTAACCGTTCATAGAATTTTGATCGTTCTTTTTGACATTTCCAAGCAAGTCCAGGATTGAAGACGGGATAAGTAGTGGCTCCTTGTTTTTTCACGTTCTTTTTCACCCTCGACTCCACTCCCATGAATTCTCCGCTTTCGGTGCTTCGCGCTCTCCGTTTGCGTTTCGGTCGCAGTGGGTCGCCGAGGCGCAGAGCGCCGCGCGGTCGCCGGAGATCTTTCAGGTTCTTTAGGGGGCCAGCGAGTCGCGGTGAGGGAAGGCATCACTCGATTTCAATAGCCTCACGGCTATGGCGAAAGAAAGTCGAAAAGGCAAATATGATGTTCGGCATTCAGCACTGATGAGTCGCTCCTATAGGAAGAATCATATAGAATCATACACGTCCTAGTCGAATATATAAGCTATTAATACAGTACAGTATATATAGTTTTGGCAGGTTGTTTCACATAAACCATCCACGGAAGATCGCTCAATTTCCCCTTCAAAAAAGTCTACCACAGGACTCTCCATGTCTCCCATTCTTGGATTTGCTTGGGGTGAGGCATGGGGTCGCATAATTGTTTGTTTTTTCCGGGTTCCAACATCAGAAAATCCAAGTGCCCTCCCGGTCTTCAGTGGATCTGGTGGGACGGAGGCTTCGAAGGAGGACTTGCGAGAGACCTTGGAGTGGCTGGAAGAGTTTCTGTGGAGCCAGGAGCCATGTCTCCTGGGGGTTGGCCTGGCACGGATTGTTTGGAAGGTGGAGCTGTTTATTAGGTGGATCTTACAAAATCTATATACAATGGTCAAAAGGTGGGATAATTCACCTGAGATGTGTTTCTTGGTGGATTTTGGCACAATGAGCTTGGTTGGAACAGTATATATGTCATGTGATGTGTTTCTGATTCTTGGTGGATTTCCCCGAATGAAGGGGTATCTCTTTACCCGTGGATTTGCCTGACCGTTTATCGCTGCCTTTCGACGGTTTTCATCACATTTCGGTCGGATTCTCCGAGGGTCGAGCCCGAAAGGTGAGGGTCGAGCCCGACTCCGCAGATTTTCGGGTCTCGGACTCCAGCTTGTTACACTTGTTCTGAGCGAACTTCGGGGTGTCCAAGGGAAACTCCGCGTAACTCCGCGGTCTCACTGAGGTGCCTTTCTTTTTTGCTCTCGCTATTCAGTAAAAAACATGAATGTGTCCCATGTCTCCCGCTGCCCAGGTTGGGGGGTTTTATAGAACACCCCCCTGCCCCTGACTATGTGTTTACTATCCACTCTTGAATAACCATGCCTTGTGTGGTGCTGGAGGATGACATAGGTTTGGTTCTGAGATGTTCCGAGTGTCCTTCGGACGAAGGTCTGATCCTCTCCCATCACTTCGGAAGGGAGAGAAATAGGACGAATGTCACGGCCAGGCCGGCCGCTGTAGGCCGGTCAGTGACTAGCCAGCCACAATCGACAAGGATCAGGGATTTCATGTTGTTTCGCATGAAACGGACCACTTTGGATGATGTCATGACATGTCCAAACACCGGGCACTTCGGATGATGTATCATCATGAAACATCGAGTTGTCTCACACGTGTGTTGTTCACACCGGTGGCGTGCCATCCTTCTTCATCGCCCCATGCGACTTCCATTCGACTCCAAGAGTGCACGGAGTTAGGTTCACCCTTTTGTAAAACAATGCAAACATTTGCAAACGATGGTCGTTCGAAACCATTGCCCATACACTTCATCTCTGGGGTCGTTTCAGGATTCAGGTGATTTCATGGGATTGGAATATGAATCAATCCCGTAGGAGAGTCTATAAATCAATCCCAACATATATTATTTATTGAAATTCCAGATACTTCCAAAACACTGAGATTCAACCAATTCGCGAAAGAAAGCGGAAACTCCTCAAGATCCACGAAAACGCTTTTCTCGATATCTCCATCGGCCGCTTAGTCCGCGCGCCGCGCGAGGACTGGTCCGTGGGCTTCGGACGCCACGCCCTGGCCGAGCGGATCGCTCATCGGCCCTTCGGTCGGTCCAGAGACCAAAACGGCTTTGTCTCACGGCTTCCCAAAGAATGACATTGAAAAGAAGGAACAATGAAAATAAAAGAAGGAACACGTCTTTTGGAAGAGAGTGTTTTGAACAAAATAGAGGTTCTATAAGTATTATATAAATTATATATAATTACTGTAACATACTGTAGTTTATACTGTATATACACATAGACCTAGAGTCACGTCCAGAGAAACTGTGAAGACTTTGTCCAATTGCAACTGAGGCCCTACTTGCTGCTGCAGGGGGTCTTTCTGGCTGGTTTGTGCCTTTTTGTTATGCCTTGGTGGACGCTGGGCTCTGGGAAACCTGTTAACCAGGGGCTCCTAATGTTGGCCCAGCATTCCCTAGAACCCAGACATGACCTTTGTTTTGATACATAATATGTTGGGGTGTTGGTGGTCCAAAAATAGAGGTCATTTAGGTTCTATGGGTAAATATACATGTTTGACTTTGCATGCTGGCACGTGAGAAGACTACGCCTCCATGAAAGCGACAAGACGGTGTGGCAAGAGGGTGTGGCAAGCGAGACGCCCTTCGACGCCGGCACGGACTTCCGCTCTCCTTTGGAGCCCATGGGCAGGGTCTGACAGCGCTATTGGTGGGAAAAAGACCACAAGCACGTCTTAAGTCCCAAAAACCTTACCAAGGCCAGAGTTGGTAAACCTGTTGACCAACAATCCACCTCGCTTTCAGGTGATTTGGAAGCGCATTGGAAGTTGCCATGGATCCGTTCCCAGATATACTCATGTTCTTGGTTCAAGAATGCCATGAACATGGTGCCATCTAAAGAAGTCTTTCTCTTAATTACTTACATCGTTGATCCAAGAAACCACATACCACCTGCATGTTCCCAAGACACAGTGGCTATCAAGGATGGTGACACTTTCCCTCTAACGACTCATGTCTTCCACATCGGAGCCTCTGGATGCCCTGTTGACCGTCACGGTCTGGATGCCCTGCGGATCAGCCAACGGAAAAAGACCCTCTCGTCGCATCGAGCTGTCAGCTCTTCGCAGTGTGGATGCCCCCAGCAGGGCTTCGCCAGGTAGATGGTTTGCGAGAGACTTTGGCAGGGTGATCCCAGACTCTGCCAGTGTTGATGTTGATTGGATGTCATGAACAGGTAGGACCTGTATGGAGGGTGTTGTCCTTGTGCCTTTGCTGACAGTTCTAGGGGGGGCTGCAACCAGTGCAGCATGGAATAGACATTTGGAGTGAGAAGGCTCAGAACAAGGCAACCGCTGAGCAGACATGTGAAGCCTTTGCAGGTATGACCTCAAGGTGAATACTGCAGACTGAGTCTACAATGTCTACAAACCTGTTTTGGAGGGATTAGCACGGTTGATGTTCAAGTTCCAGACAGCAGAGTTTGTTCATTTGCATACCAAAGCTGTTTGACATTTGGTTGGTGAGCGCCAGCTCACATTCGACGAGGACATGTAAAACACGCGCCCGGACCTGTATCCCCAGAAACTACAATGAAAACATGTATTTTGTTGTCAGAACTACAATGTCTCTACCATGGCCCCCAGAGTTCAGGGCGTTTGTCTTTGTAGCCCCGAAAAGAGATGAGTTACAGTGAGGGTTTTCATTCACCACAACTCCCGTAATGGTCCTGGTATAGTCTTTGGAACCACTTCCAGACACTCCATGTATGGAAGATATGTCTACATTGAACCACCCCAGGGGCTGGAACCACCCCCCATTGACACCAAGGCCTGGTTGGAGGAGCGAGGCCTTGATGACGAAGTGGTGAGGCTGGCGGCCGCCGTGTGTGTGTGTGTGTGTTGCTCTCTGTGGTGGCAAAGAGTGGTAAAGACAACTGCTACAGGGTACACTATAGTATAGGATCATATTGGTTTGCTTATTTGCTTCATTTTTTGTCATTGATTTTCGGATTGCTGGGCCCCTTCTCCTCGCTCTTTCTTGGGTTGATTTGTTTGTTTAATGTGTGTTTGTTCTGCTTCTGAACAGGGGCATTGGTTCATTTCTGTTTGATCATAGGGAGTGTGAGTCACTAGCTCACATCAGCTGCATGAACACTTTGACACTTCCGCTAGGTTTTTCGAGCCTGGAAATGAATGATTTTCAGTGGACCTGAACATATTAACTGACAAACACTATGCAACATGTGCAATATTGACCTCAGCAACAAGCTGGATCTCTTGCTGTTTGCCGGTGGTTGCTGGTGGGTTCCCCAAGCAGTTCCGCAGTTCCTTCATGTTCCGCCAGAAATCTGGTGCATGAACTGGCCATATTAGCCATGATCGCCCCGCGGCCGGTGGCAAGACCGAGAACACAGGTCCTATGTGGCGGGCCCCACGGCCGCTTGGAGACGGAGCCGAGATCTTCGACGTCGGACGAGATCTTCGATCGGCCTCCGTTCGACCGGGGAGACCCAGCCGGTGCACTGAATCCGCAGCTGAAAAGAATGCCTAGATGAATCCACCCTTCGCATCCCTTCGCCTAACGAAAGAAGAGCTGAAGGCGTCGTCCTTGCTCGGTGAAGGCGTCGTCCTTGCTCGTTCGGAGTTTTCAGCTTGGTGGGTTGACTTCATGGGGCGTACGAGGTCGTTCCACTGTACACCATTATGCAGAGCTGGTCTCAGAGCATGTGGAATGATGAACAGCTAGAAGACTTGTCCATGAAGAGATTATCGGAGATCTATCCAGTGAATGGTTTTTCTACGTTATATTGAAATATGGTAGACTCTTGATTAATATACCCCCTCAATTTGGATGCGCGAACTTGCGGTCCCTTGTCTGACGCGCGCCTTCGTGGGCCCCCTTACTCAGATTGTCTGATGGGTTGCTGTGGGTCTGAGAGGTGAAACCACTACGACGACTCTCGAGGCAAAGAACTCGTAAATAATATGTACAGGGAACCAGGCGCCTGGCCCGACCCTACGCCCCCTCATTTGGATTGAACAACCTCTTCATATGTGAGGTTGATTAATCAAGAGTTTTCGACGCAAAACCGCGGAGCTCTTTCTTTCGTCCTTTTTGGGTGGGCGTCCTTCCAGTGCCACTGGTGAGGGATCGAATCCGGTGGCAAGCCGGCTGGCAGATGGGGGTCCATATAAACTGTTTTTGTGCCATCTACTCTCAGTCTATAATTGCCAGAAAGAGAGGTGGCATATGGAGGGGCGGGGACAAACTGAGACAAACTGATAGACCAAGAAACGGTTAAAGCACCTAACTGCATATTAACTGCACAGAGCATAGAGAACGAGTATAAATTGTTTACAGCATGATGTTGTTCCAATTGGTTCCTTAATGTTCCTTATATTGATTAACCCAAAATCTGCTGGGAACGCTTGGCTTTGGTTCTCCAAATCCTGACGGTGTTCATTCAGTTTTCCACGTATATATATATATATACAGTATATATATATATATGTGATTTGTCCATTGATGGTTGATGACCGTTGATGACTTGACTCGCCGCCTCAACGAAGTGGTGGGTGGGCAGAGGCATTTACACCGAGAGGAGAAACCAAGGTTCGGTGTCCAGGGACAGGGGTGACTGAGGACGGTCTAGGACTCTAGGTGGACAGGGCTCCATACAGGATTCACATTGGTAGCGGAGCCCCTTAAACAAGGGGCAAGGTGTGTTTAGGGGTTCAGGGTGACCCTAGTTGGTGGTGATAGGAAGTTTGGGGGAAAAGACATTTTACCTCCATCGTGTGAGTGAGCCATGGCCCCTAAAGCTGCACAGCCGGCGGAAGAGGCCACGCCAGGCCGAAGCCCGGGATCACTCCCGGCGAGTCAGCTACCTTGGGCACAGATCCCAAGCTTCGTGGCAGGTGACACAGACCTGGATGACTATGGGAAGAAACTGACTTTTCTGGCAAGCATTTGGCCCGAAGAACACATTGGACATTTAGCCCCAAGAGCAGCTCTCCAGTGTGATCCAGTTTCATTCAAGAAGATTTCACGAATCAGCCCAGAGGAACTCAAGTCCAAGAAGGGTGTGGCGGCTATTTTGGCCGCTTTAGGCCTTCAATGGGGAAGGTTTTCTGCAGAAGACCGCTACCTCAAGTTCGAGCGAGCGCTGTTCCTGACGGTTCAGAAGGGGGATGAGACAAATGACAGCTATCTAGCCAGGCACGACGCCTGCTTCGAAGAAGTGATGGCCAAAGAGAAAGGAATCAGCCTCGAAGAAATTCGAGCATACATCCTCCTCCGACATTCAGCCCTCTCCTCGGAAGACAAGAAGCGCATCATCGTTGAGTCGGATGGAGAGTTGAAGTATGGCCCAACCCGAGACCGAGTTCGTCTTCTGGGATCGAAGTTCTTTACGGATCTTCATGGACAAGCAAAGCCCAAGAACAAGACCTATGACGTGAACATCACGGAGACGCCCGATGAGGAAGATACCATGGTGACTTTTGAACCTCCTGATGAACAGCAGGAGGAACAGGCCTTCCAGCTCCTACAAGATCAAGGAGACGAAGACGCAGTGTTCGTGGCCGAATTTGAAGAAGAGGTGATCAATGCTGTTCAGGAGTCAAGTCAACTAGCAAGTTGTTTCTCGGCATATCAAGAAGCCCGTGCCCGACTTCGTGAACGAGTTCGCCAACGAGGATTCTGGCCACCAGGTCAGGGTAAAGGTGGCAACCAGCAGAACAAGGGCAAAGGAAAGAAGGGGTCATGGAAGAACTCATGGACTCCGCCTCGAAAGACACTTGCTGAGAGGATTGCGAACTCAACCTGTCGCATTTGCTCCAAGCCTGGACATTGGAAGAGAGAATGTCCTCAGCGCTTTGAGCGACAGGCCGAGACCACCACCATGGCGGAGACACCCTATGAACCGGAGCAGGATCCGGAACTCATGGACACCTTGCCGGACGACGTCCAGGACTATGAGCCTTGTTCCCTTTTGAGTAAAGAGTTTGGTAGGGTGGTAGGTTCGATCGCACCGGTCGCTTGGAAGGGACTTGAGACTCAGAGGACACACGGGGGAGATCAGATCTTTACTGTTTGGGACAGTGGGTTTTTTGGAAACGACCTTCGATCAGCCCTCAAAGTCGCTCAGAGGCCGGGGCGATTTGAAGTTGCACCTTCAGCCAAGACGCGAATCAATTTTGAGAGAGCCTCCTCACCGATCCTTCCAGCCTTGAATGTCCATGACCAGACTGGACTGGGGCAGATGATGGAAGAAGCTTCCGACGAAGCCATCTTGGACACCGGAGCGAGCCGAACTGTGATAGGGAGTCGCAGGGTTGATGGTTTGGTTCAAGCTTTGAAGGGGGTCAAGGTAAGGAGGGGCCCCTCAAGTTGTGTGTTCAAGTTTGGAAACAGCGGCACGCTCCAATCTCAAGAAGCTTTGTTTTTGCAGAGAAAAGGCAGAGGATGGCTTCGCGTCGAGATCGTGCCCGGAAGCACACCGTTCTTGTTGTCAAACGCAGTTGTTCAAGGAATGAAGGGGGTAATTGATTCCTATAGGGGGAAACTGTGGTTCCACGGGGCTAGACAAGAACTTGATTTGCGGAAGGTTCGACGGCGTTTGATCTGTGTGAGTGTTACTAGGGATTTGTTGAATGTTGATTTTGATGATGAAAAGGGTGAAGTGTTTCATTCAACCTCAAAGAACACAAACACACACCACAAGTCGACCCACCACGTGCATGAGAGCAGAATTCAGAATGAGGAGACACCAAAGAAACAAACAGAGTTCCAGCATCCCACAGACTTGATTCAGAACGATCATGCAGCCCAAGAGACAGCTCAAGTGAACATCCTTTCGAAGCCCGAGATCGACATCGACGAGACCCACGATCATGGCAATGAAGAAGACAATGGCTCAGCACTCCGTGGAGGACGAGCTGTCGGGGGAGGAAGATCCGACATTGATGTCGGCAACCCGACAGGCCTTGGACTACACCTACATGATCCCACCGGGAATGACCAGCCTCAAGCAATGGGGACAGGAGAAAATGACCACCGGCAAACATGCCGGCCAGTCATTCGATGTGCTGTTCGAGACGGACACCAACTACGTGAACTTCATCCTGCACCACAAAAGGCTCACAGGAGTCGACATGCGCAGCTTCCAGAACTACTGCATGGCTCGCCGGAAGAAGGAAGCAGAGGCATCGCAAATGCCGGTGATGAAGACAAAAGGCAGAGCCTCCACCGAGAGCGAGTGGAGCCACATCGACTGGGAGACGATGGAGCACATGGATGCTCGTCAGACCCAAGGACCGATGACCAAGACCACGGAGAAGACTCCAACCGGCTCCAAAGGGACATCCCACAAGAGGGCTCTCCCAAAAGCCAAAGACGAAAAGCCAATGAACATCGAGCCAAATCAGCAGCACCTTCATGCCCTTCAGACTCAGATCGCAGTGCTGCAGAGGGAGCTGGCTCGACACGGCTACGAGGACCAGAATGTCGCGCCGGCGCCGGAGACACCGTGAGACCCGACAGTGAACCGAAGGTGACAAATTCGAAGACTCCAGTTGCTGAGGTCCAGAAACGATTGACGGAAGTTGTTCAAACGATTGAGGACGGGTTGTCCATATTACCTACAAAAGGACCCTTTCGTCAGCGACCTCAGAAACCGGTTTGTGATCCAGCGAATGATCGGCCCGTTGACCTCTTGGAGATCTTTTGTTTTCCCCAATCCCAGATGACCACTCACATGAATAAGATGGGAGGAAAAGGGTTGAGATTTTCTTTAGACGATGGAGATCTTTCCACAGCAGAAGGGGTCAACAAATTATGGACCTGGATCTATATGTATGAACCACGCCATATCTGGACGGCTCCAGACTGTAAGGGGTGGGGGGGGTTTTCCCGACTGAACATGACCCGAAGTAGAGAATCCGAATCACGTATCTTGTTCATGCGAGAATTCGAACGAAGGTATCTGAAGTTATGTAATGACATCTATTGGCATCAAGTTTCTCATGGACGACATTTTCATTTGGAGCAACCTCAAGGTTCAGACATGTTGAAGCAACCAGAAGTATATGACATCATGTCGGGAACTTTGACAGCCTCCTTTGACCAGTGCACCGTTGGCAAACTGCGAATTCCGGGAACTGACAAGTACCTTCGGAAGCGCTCCAACGTCCAGACGACCTCCAGGTTGATTCACCAGATGCTCCATGGCAAGTGGTGCCAACAAAAGCATGAACACCAGACCATCGAAGGAAGCTACACATACCAGGAAAACAGACAGAACATTTCAGCATTTGCCGCACGATACACCACAACCTTTGCACAACACATGGTAAGGGTGATGATTAGGAGTAGGGAGAGTGGAGAGAACCCCCTTGTTGTGGAAGAGTTGTTGGCAGGTTTTGAGGCTTCCGAAGGGCAAAAACGATCGGCAGATTCTCGAGGAATTGCTCTCGAGTCTTTGCGGCTGAAGCGGCGGAGATGCGATTTTAAGCAAGCAAGACCACCTGCATTTGATGATCACCAGGACACATCATGGGACGACCTGATGAAAAGTGTGTCATCCGACACGCCTCGTGTTGGGGTTCACATTCTTGGAAGGGAGTTGAGTGAAAGGATTGGATCGAAAGTCCCAGAGATGGATGTCCGATTGGTCATTTCATGTCGTGGAACCGACCGATATCGCATTCCTCCGAACGAAAGCGACACGGAGTCCATACCCCTCAGGAAGACAGTCTATGTACACAGACAGACTGGGGAGTGTGTGGACACGGGTCCCCCAGAGGAATGGCTCAAACTGAGCAAGCTGAAGCGCATCCGAGCGTGTGGACCTTCCAGACTTGCAATCACCATTTTTGGGAGACCACGGGGGGAAGACCAAGGGATGATGCCTGTCTCTAGGGAACCCCAGGAGGTTGTGGAAGGAAAGGAACTGGCAAGTCCGGATCCCACCGGATGGGCTCCCAGACCAATCGCGGTGTCAGGACCCGCCTACAACCGCCTGTCATCCGAGAAGCGCCAGGATATCAGCAAACTCCATCAGAATTTGGGACACCCCTCGACTGATCTTTTTGTGAAGTTTCTTAAAGAAAGGGGATCGCCTCAAGATATTTTGGATGGAGCAGCTGAGTTCCAGTGCGCAACATGTGCGGAAACTGTAGGAGCCCCCATGTCAAGCAAACCCGGAACCATACACCGTGAATTGGACTTCAACGATGAAGTAGGATGTGATGGGGTGTATTGGAGCGGGAAGATGGGAAAGAGCTACTATTTTGTTCATTTTCTAGATGAGGGTACGCTGTTTCATTTGGGGACTCCATGCAATAGAACCACCGAAGATCAGATCCGGGCATTTGAGGATACCTGGTTACAATGGGCAGGACCATGTAAAACCCTATATGTTGACCCGGCCGGAGAATATGTAACGGACAAGTGGCGGGATTTCCTTCAAAAGGAAGGGATCCAATTGGCAATGACAGCTGGCGGATCACCATGGCAGCTAGGTCGAACGGAAAGACATGGAGCCATCATAAAAGGGATGTTGACCAGAATGGACAACGAACAACCAATTCAAAACGAGGAAGAGTTTCGGGCATGTTTGAGACATGTTTTTGCAGCAAAGAATTCGTTGAGTAGGGTCAATGGATTCACACCGGAGCAGGCTCTATTGGGTAAGGCTCGAACTCTACCTGGCTCCCTGGTTTCAGACGACCTTGCAGGTAGCCATGTTTTGGCAGAGAGTGGAACTCCTGAAGGAATCAAGTTTAGAGAAAGTCTGTGGAGAAGAGAACAGGCTAGAAGGAGTTTCATATCTGCAGATAACGATTCAAGCTTTCGCCGCGCGTTGCTTCGAAGAACACGCCCGAGTCGTGATATGTATGAAAAGGGGGATTGGGTACTCTACTGGAAGAGGACCCAACAAAGTTCACGGAGAGAGAAGGGTAGGTGGTATGGTCCCTCACAAGTGATAGCTGTTGAGGGAAGCAGGGTGTTGTGGTTGAGTCATGGGGGAAGGTTGGTAAGGGCCAGCCCTGAACAAGTCAGACCCGCATCTCTCCGAGAATACCACCTCCTTCCCAAAGACTCGTCTGGGGGAGTGAAACCTGAAGAATTGGCAGAGGGGAAGGGTCCTAGGGATTTCATTTCACTTGAAGGGGTACCTGATGAAGAGTATGAACCCAGTGAAGGTCCCAGTGACATGATTGATGTTGAAATCCTTCCCATTTCCCAGCCAGAAAGTGAAGCAGCACCCCCAAGTTCTCCAAATGAAGGATCGGCGCCAGGAGTGCCGATTTGGGACGGCGATGATATGCAAGTTGACGGAATTGATGTTCCCGTCCCGAGTGATGATGAGCTGTTTGCGTTTGGAGACGACCAGCAATGGTCTACAGAATCATGCTTTGAGATCACCTTCAAAGACTGTCCCTGGGCTACCCTCACCACAGAAGAGTGCTGTTCATGCATGCAGGTGTATGAAGCCATGTTGACCACCAATCCAAAGAAGGAGAGGATTGAGGTTAGGTGGGGGGACCTGAGTGAAGAGGACCGAGCCAAGTTTTCTGCTGCCAAGAACAAAGAGCTCAAGGCATGGTTGGACCATGGCACGGTCAAACGTGTGACGGCCGGAACCCTCCAGCCGGAGGAAATTATGAGGTGCAGGTGGATTCTGGTTTGGAAACCCCCTGAAACCCCGGGTGGAGAGAGGCGGGCTAAAGCGAGGTTGGTAGTTTTGGGGTTTACTGACCCAGGGTTGTCATATGTCCCAAATGACGCCCCCACCTTGAGTAAGGATGGAAGGATGCTATTGCTCCAAACCGTCAGTAGCAGGAAGTGGAAGCTCATTAACTTTGATGTGTCTACCGCCTTTCTCAAAGGGGAAGGGGATGGCCGACGTCTTGGTTTAGAAGCACCTCCAGAGATGGCACAAGCTCTTCAGATGAAAGGAGATGATCAATGCCTCCTTCAGGGCGGAGCCTATGGTCGAGTGGATGGTCCTTATTTGTGGTATACTTCGTTCAGGAAGACACTTGAGAGCTTGGGATTTGTTTGTTGTCCTTTTGACAATTGTGTATTTTCATTGATTACCGAGGGACCAGACCAAAGACCTCAGGTTCGTGGGGTGCTCGGGATTCATGTGGATGATGGGATAGGTGGAGGTGATGAATACTTCCACACGGTCCTGACAAGTCTCCAAGAAAAATTTAGTTTTGGTGCTTACCGGGAGAAGAGTTTCATCTTCTGTGGGGTTCAGTACTTTCAGTGGGAGGATGGTTCCATTGAGATCGACCAGAGGGATTACATAGAGAAGATTTCCCCAATTCAAATCCCCAAGACAAGAAGAGCAGAACTCCAAGACCCGGTGACCGAGAGCGAAAGGCAGGAGATCAGGCAACTGGTGGGTTCCCTTCAGTACTCGGCAGTCAATACTCGACCGGACTTGTCCGCTAAGATAGGCGAGGTTCAGTCAAAGGTGACAAGAGCGAAGGTTGAAGACATGCTCACTCTGAACCGCGTACTGCATGAAGCAAAGACACACCCAGTATGCCTGTATATTGTTCCTCTGCCGTTGAACACTCTCACATTTTGTGCATTCTCGGATGCCTCATTTGCCACATGCCGAGAGCTGTCGCCCAGACAAGGCCAGATCATTTTTGCGACAGATAAGAGAATCCTTGACAACCAACCAAGTGTGGTATGCCCGATGGCATGGTCTTCACGGAAGATAGCTCGTGTGGTGAGGTCAACCCTCAGTGCAGAAGCAGTCGCTTTGAGCTCATGTCTTGACAGACTGTCATGGCTCCGTTTGTTTTGGAAATGGCTGGTTGATCCATCAATTGACCTCACAGATTGCAGCCGAATTCTGAGCGAAGATCATCCAGCGGCAGTGGCAACAGACTGCAAGTCTGTATATGACATTGCAACCCGAACTTCGGTTCCCTCATGTGAGGAATATCGAACGTGTCTTGAGTGTTTGTTGATTAGGGAACGCCTAAAGGAAAGCTGCCGCATCCGCTGGGTGAGCTCAAGAGCTCAACTTGCTGACTCATTGACGAAATCAATGGACGGTTCACTACTCCGCCTGTGCCTAAAGGAGGGACGTTATAGCCTTTTTGATGAAGAGTCCACCCTGAAAGAGAGAGCTGATCGTCGGAACAAACTCCTATGGGTTAAGAAAGAAGGGCAGGAGAAAAGAACATAGAGAATTTTAACGTATGTGATTTGTCCATTGATGGTTGATGACCGTTGATGACCGTTGATGACTTGACTCGCCGCCTCAACGAAGTGGTGGGTGGGCAGAGGCATTTACACCGAGAGGAGAAACCAAGGTTCGGTGTCCAGGGACAGGGGTGACTGAGGACGGTCTAGGACTCTGGGTGGACAGGGCTCCATACAGGATTCACAATATATATAGTATAGTTGTAATATATATATATATATACTCCCTCTACCCAGAGGTTTTACAACATTGGACACACCATGCAGCTTACACTCAGCTGTTGAAGGCTTATAGCGGTTCCTCAACTGTTTTCAAGCAAGTGACCAGACTACAGACATCTATAGACCCAATCTCATTCGGGAATTTCACTTGTTAAAAGCTTAATGGCCAGTTCTTGTGGCCAACATCTTCATTAGGAGGGGAATCAGCGCAAGATTGAATAGTTCGATCCCTCCCCTTGCTTGAGAGCGAGCGGCTCCAGGGCTCCGGAGGCCGACCCCCCATGCTCCATGGCTCCGGAGGCCGCCATGTTCCTTGGAAAACCAGCCCAAATGGATGGTGCTGTCGATGGTTTTCCTAACCCATTCTGGCAGCGTCCCAAGGTCTGAAGGTAGGTCTGAAGCCACCGCTGAGGCGGTGCCCTTTCCCTGTGAGCCATATCCTTGGATCGAGCTCCTGCAGTTGGGCAGACCACGTCCCTTGGACGAGATCGAGCTGCGTTTCACGTGACGGCGCGGACGGCCTCATGGGAGGTGTGTGATGTTGTGAAAGGTATGAGCTTTGGTGGGCTTTCTGGCTGCTTTGGGGCTTCTTGCGGCCCATTTTCTTAATCAGGTGGATCGCAGCAATGATACCAATTGGTCAATGTGTATTCAGTGGAACCCCAACATTCTTGCCTGAGTCTTTGTGATGTCTATGTATGGTCACTTGAGGCAGTTTGGAGATCCGGTGCTCAGTGCGTCTTAGACTTTGCGAAACATGGTGACCAATGCTCCGGTTGTTTGGGGTGGCCAATTCAATCCAAATGATGGCCACACAGTTTTGTTGAAACATGTTAACACATTAGGTTGTTTCTGCACGTTTATGTGTTGTCAAGAAAGGACCCAGGTTCAAGCTGGAGAATCCCAGAAGTCGTCTTATATATATATATATATGCACCCTTTCAGGTGCTTTTTCAGGACCTGAAAGGGTGCAAAGCCCAAGCACCACTTTTTGGGCAACGCCGTATCTAAACAAGCACAATATGGAATGATTTCGCCGAGAGCAGGGACGGAACGAACGATCAGGCCGAGCAACGAACGAACGAAAACCAGTTCCCAAAAAGAGATCGTTCCGAATGACCTATCAATAGGCCGTTCAATCTCGAAAATGATGAGGCCCCCCCTGTGATTGGTGAGGGATTGGGATAATTGGTGCCCCAAAGACATGGCGAACGAACAAACCCTAGGGATCCAGTCGTACCTTCTCAGAAGGTGATTGGAGGCACTGTTATGTCGGTATGGAGGGTCCAAGTACCTTCTGAGGAGGTACGACTGGATCCCTAGGGAAGCGGTGTCCCCATGGCTTTCAACGAGACCTGGACTCCCTGCACGGTGGGTCGGACGACTCTCCCACCGTAAAGCTGGCTAAGGGTGTCCGTCAGCGTTATGACATGGTTGGATCAAAGCCGTTTAGTAACCACAAACACCACTCCGTCTGGGTGGTTTTGCTGTTTTTTTGGTTTCGAGATCCCCTTGACATCCAAAATGCGTTTTCCCTTGACCATAGTGCAGGGTGCAGGGTGGCATGAGACCTGAAACACTTCTATTGCGTTGTGATGAGACCTGAAACTAAAACGATGGTGATGAGACCTAGATCTGCTGGCTTGAGGCTTAGAAGCTGCTGAAGCCTGGTTGCAGAGCCACCTCTCCTGGACACCCGAGAAGGTGCCAAAAGTGGTTCCGCAGCCCATCAGGGACTCCACAGATTCAGTCTTAACTGGAAGATTCAGTGAACAGACGTTTTATATGATGGATGTGTATTCAAAACGAATTGAGACACCTGAGACCTCCCAAGTTCGGCCCCCCTGGAAGAAGGAACATAGGCTATGACCCGTTGGTTGCGGGGTCTCCCTATCAACACACTCACTCATAGGTTAGTTGGATTGAAATAGAGAGCCCCTGAATACAGTTCCTCCAAACAGGATAGAATTGGATCTACTGGGCATTGTCACGGTACCAGGTCACCAGTGTTTCTTGAGTTGGGTCTTGTCTTGTGGAGTGGGTCATTTGACACCAGAAGGGGAAATGCGGCTTTCGCGCAGAAAGGTTGAAACTAACTTCTTGCGCGATAGGGTGGAGATTATTTGTGGAAGTCATCTGCTAAAGAAACGCAGTGAACAGTTGATGATGAAAGTCGTAGGTCTTGAGTTGACTGCCCCAAAGGAACTTCACTCATGCGTTCGCTGAAAAGACTTCACTTCTTCTCGGAGCCATCCATTGAAACCTGCCCTGCCAGATATGTCTATACCTGGACCTTCAAGGGGTGTCCTGGCTGGAGATCCCTGATCGTGGGCTGGGGCTTCCAGCCAGGTGACCCCGACATGAAGGTGCTACCAACCTACGACGAACCATGCGACCTCCTTGGACCCGTGGATCCTCCCTGCATGTTCGGACTCAGCAGCAGCTCGGTCACTGGGGCACTGAAACGGGAAGCTCAAACAGGAAAGAAACACCGATCTGGCAGCAGCCAGTTCGGGTGGTTGATCAAACTCCCGGACTGTTTACTATCCAAGAAGTCATTGTTTTTTTTTTTTTTTTTCTGGTGCTTGTACTTGACATCGTATGGACCAGTGAGATGGCGGAGATTCGATTCCGCCGGACCGGTCGTGTTTCAGCACAGCTACGCACCTCTCGAGCTCCGCGTCAGGTCTCCAAGGCTTTGTGTCAGGAGCCGTGCGCCGCTTCGTCCCGCGCTTCGTCCGGCGCCGCGTGAAACACGCGGTTCCGCGGGGTTCCGTGCCTCCGAGGCATCGGAGGCCCGAGCGAATGATGTGAAATGTGCAGTGATTTCCCCATGGATGGTCAGTGCTGGCACATGGAACGAATGGGCATTCCAGTATCACCACCGATGCGAAGCATTGGCACCAGGTCATCGTTCGGAGGCTTATTTTGATTTTGTGCGGGTCCGCCCGGCGGAAGCGGGGTCAGAGGATTTAAGAAGACCAAGACAGTGGGTTCGCCCGACGGCCTAGAAATGGATGGATGATCAAGTTCCCTCAAGACCCCACAACATTTTGGCTATACCTGGCTGGGCTGGTGAACAAGAATTTACTGGACCAACATTAATTACATTTCGGAGTCTTTTTTCCTCACTTTCTTCTCAAGATGGATGTTTGCCGTTTATACCATGGTTTTCTGTTTTTTGTTGCTTGTTCACCGCGGGGCGGGGGCAGTCTCCCTGTTCGACGGATCCGCAGCTTCCTTGGCTCAATGCCGCTCCGACCGAAAAGCCCGCGGGGACCAAGCCCACCGCGGGGGACGGTCGGAGAGGGATGCTTTACGAGAGTTTGATAGCATCTGGGCGGCACCTGGGTGGTTTGCAAGCGGTTTTAGATTGTTTAAAGTCGAAAATGAGTTCCAGGGCGATGGGTGATGGGACGATGCAGATGATTGCATATTATATATTATATATATGATGTGTATAGCAGAACTATAGAATAGACTCTATACTACAGCTATAGTAGAAATATAGTATAATATAGTACTACAGCTATAGACCAAGAGTTTTGAATCACTCTCGGCTATGCATTCCAGGGGACTCAGAACTGAGACCGGACGAGGCGGACGGAATTTCTGAGGGCCGCTTTGGGTTGGAAAACTGGCTGGCAGGACATGGAGTTTTCCGATGGTAGGACGCTTTGACCGGATTCACATTCGGGATGGCCATTTACGGTGTTTAAGCTCCCAAAAACCTGGGCCTGAATTTGTCGGGGAAATCGAATATAGGCTTCCCTGCCCACCACAAGCTAGCTAAAAGCGCACAAAGAGCACATGTTTGTTCAAGGTCTCTCACCTAATTAGTATACTCTTGAGCCTCTTGAATCTGTGGAAACAGTCCAGCTTCGAGAAGGCACCACTTCTACTCAGGGCATGATAGAAGTGAACAATTCCAATTTGCTGCGTGTCTCCCGACTCGACTCGACCATTCTCAGGCCGGCACCTTCTTGGCCACAGCCGTCCCAGATGTTGCTCGGTGTGTAGACTCCCCCGGAAGGAATCCATGAAGGGTGGAAGCCAATGACCAAGCAGAGTGGTGTTTGTTTTCCACTTCCATGATGATTTCATTTGTTTCCATTTCATCGGTGACTATTTCTTAATGCATCAATGCATATATATATATATATCCTTGCATATCCTTGCCATCTTCGGAATCCTGATTGTTGGCGAGATACGGGCCGCGGGGAGTTTGTTGGGCAGAACATATGAAGGGGAGATGCGGTGGAGAGCCACTTGCTGACAATTGAGAAATGGTGGGTTAGAACCTCAATGCTGATAATAACGGCCAATGTTTCCACGAGGATGGGTCAAAGATGGTCCAAGTTTTTTCGTGCAATTTATATACCTGCACTTAGTTAGCTTTTGCTACGCTACTGGTATATGGTGAAGGGAACCACTTGAACTGACCAGGGTCAATCAGGGGAACCACTTGACCGATACCCTGGTCCTCGACTTCAGAGCGCCAGTGCAGCCGGGCTGGACCCCTGAAGAAGGTTGTGCCACTCGTTCCGCTACTTGTAGGAAGGCACTGTTTTGATGGCCCAGTTGTTGTTGCAAGGTGGAGGCTTGGATGTTGATACAGTGCTGAACGCGAACTCCACGTCCACACAATTTGGACCTTTGGTCGTGTGTTAAGTTGTGTCACTTGTAGCTGCAAACAGCTACTCAAACTGGCCACTGGTCTCAGTATGGTCCACAAAAGTGCGTCCACAGGCTCTAGTGATCATCTTCTTCTCTGGCATTGGATTCAGTCGGAACCTCTTCGCGCTCGTCGCGCGCGATGACCTGCACCTCCTCTCAGGCCGCTCGTGGACGGACCGTGACGACCGACTTGTCGCTGGTGGGGGGAGCTCGGTCGGTGGAACTAGGAGAAAGGAATGAGGATTTTTTGCGGTGGAAGGCTACTTGAGTAGTATAATTGGATGTCATTTGCCACCACGTGTTTTGGGAACCAAGTGGCCGATTACTATGTTTGAGAGGTGTGGTAGGATTGGGAACCAACAAATATTCTTTTGAGAGGGGTTGTCTTATATATATATGCATATATGTTGAGTATTATGTCTGAAGCCAGCAAATTCGGCTGAGTTATTTGACCAGGTTTCCCTTCAAGATTTGAGCCGATCCAGTGTGATTGAATAATGAAGCCTCCACCTTCAGGTCATGTAGGTGGAAAGCCTTGGAAACTCGTGGGTGTGAACATGTATCCAACATCCATCCCAATGGTCAAAGCAAACTCTCAAAAATATCCACCCATCCTTGATTCAATGTGAAAGTGGAAGAATCCAATGAACACCTGAAAAGACAAAGTAAACAATCACACATCTTTGATTCAATCCTTGATCTCCTTCAAACAGACGGAGGTGAAAGGTGAAAAGGTGACATGGTTTCCCTGAGAAAGCGGTTCGGAGCGGTTGTTGTTTGGGTTGTGTTCGCACGAGTGCAAAGACAAGAATCACCTAGTAGTCACATGAATTTGGTTGAATAGGTATGATTTGAACGTGTTTTTTTCCATATCATATAGGGTTCTTAGTTCTAAGTCCAACGGACTTCTGGTTTTCATTTGCGCTGAACGTTTCATAACACGTCCTCAACCTTGCATATCCACCAGCGCCGCAGTGCGCCAATGGAGGCCTCAGCGCACTGATTTCCATTGCAGCTTTCCTTTTGTATTTTATCTTCGACATTGGAAAGGTGCACCGGGGCGAAGGGGTGGTATCTTGAGTGGCGCAGAGCGATGTGTCATGTGTCATGAAGAACATGCGACTGTGCAATTGAAGGGTGGAATCAAGTCACAAAGTGCGCCCTTTTTGGGTCTCATGTCATTCATCTGCTAAAACGTCGAGGTCTGACCGTCCGTCTGACCCGGAGAACACCGGTGTTCCCCGCCTCGGCGTCTATTGCCGAACGCTGCAGCCCAGCCCAGAACGCTGCAGCGTTGTTCCGCCACGTTGCCTCATTCTGCCTTGAAATTTGCTTATGTTGCTATGTATTTGCATTATGTTACATTAACTATTTCCAGCAGTAGGTGTTTGAAGTCTAAAAGGAACCAGTGACCTATGTGGTGACGGGCTGGTCGAAACTGTGTTCATCCCTGCAGGTCGCTTGTGTTGAACAACAAAGGTCGATGATAATATGAACAGCCATGCTGCGAGATTCATGTTGAATCAACCCACCATACATATATAGCCCCTAGACGAGGTGGAGAGGTGCCGATCACGCACCTCTTAGCTGTGTTTGGTTTGTTCTGATATGGCGCCATGGGTCATGGCACCCTGAGCCCTGTTTACATTGCTACTGTAGGACTGTAGGTGGTCCTCCTGTAGGTCGTCAATTCTGTTCCTTTTCCGTGGTCAACCAGCGTCCCCAGTTTGGACCCGGTCTACGACACCGATGTGGAGCGACGCGGGGTGCGACATGGGAAGATGCGGGACTCAATGATGCGGGTGCAGTCGCAGTTCATTCCCTTTAGAGGTCCAGTCTGACCCTGAAAAAACCACCGGGTCCGAAGCAAAACCACCTCAGCTGTGGGCAGTGTGTTTGGTCAACACGTTTGGTATGATCAACTCCAGCAAACTGTGGTTCGTTCATGTTCGTTCCTGAACTGTATGTAGGGAATATGTTCATCCTATTGGGTCCGAGAATTTACGGAAAAAAAGTGCACCACGGCGTGGGCTCGGCTCTTGGTCCGGGCTCGGCTCGGCTAGGCCTCGAAGAAGGTGGGGGTTCCCTTTGCACTGGGGATCTTTGCATGCGTGATGGCACTGAGTATTTTTGCACCTTGGCCACACGGGCGTTTTTTTTTTTAATTTGTGAAATAGAGGAGCTTTCTTTGATACCATCGCGAGAAAACCTTGGACTATTGCACATCCTGTCAAATCCTTGAACGAGAGAATGAACTGTACCAGAGCCGGAGTGACCTCTATTTTCCATTCAATACAGAGATCCACAGAGCTATAGGTATATAAAGTAGTATAGTTCTTATAGCGTTATTTTTCGGCCTCAGGTTTCCAAAGGGTGGAGTACGTCGGTTCCTTCTTCAAACTCTGTCAGGTGAAGGGCGAGCGTAGCTGTCAGTCATGGTTTGTCAGAAGTTCTTGCTGTCACTCATAGAGGGCGCCTGTGGGCCATATGTCGTCCTTGCGTCAAACATGTTTATGAAAGCGCCAAATCTCTTCATGTTGGAGGAGCGTTTGACTCTCAGGTCTCTTTGGACTACCCTTGGGCTTCGCCCTTTCTCTGCCTGCAGTGCATCTATGTGATCCTTGGTGTCCCGGTTCTCGATTCTTCTAACTCGGGGTATAGCCGCAGATTTGTGTGAAGTTGCAGCGAGCACTTTCAACTGGAAAGCACACTGGAAGATGGAGACAGCAGAAGGATGGAAGTGAAACATGACCGTTGGGGAGCCCATGTTCCTCCGCAATGACCATGCTTTCCATGGTTGTCCCCTTCCAGTGCTGGCAATTTCCCTCATCCGGATTCCAGTGTATGGAGAATCATATTTTTGGGGGGTTCGGTATCGAGTTGATTGGTGGGGGATGACACCCTGGACATTGAGAGTCGACCAAAAGAGAAACGAGTGCGCCTTTTACGGTGTCACTCATCAAAGCCTGCTCCAAAGGGAGGAACGAAGCTGGACGACCTGTGGGCTTGTTCTGTGAACTTTGTTTGTAGCTTCT